GCGGGAAGGGATAAGTCGAACATCTTAAAGCTCTGCAAACTTGAAAGAAAAAGAAAAAATGTTCACCAGACTGTCACTGTTATCCGAGCGAAAAAGAAAAGCGGTTTGGAGCGAAATGAAAGTGCCGTTTTGCTATGGTGATCATTGACGACATGTCTTTCGCTTGACAACAGTGCCGCTTTTCACTTGTTTTGCACCCACCTCTCAAATAATGGGACTATTGGTTACTTTGTTTAATTGTTAAACCTACGACATGTTCAGTGATTGGAGTCAGGATTTTTCCGGCAAAGTAGAGGGAGGGGGAGGGATGGCGTAATGAATACACGACAATTATAGCAATAAAGAGGGAAAAAGAGGGAGAGGAGGGTATTCAAATTGGCACGGGGGGGGGGGGGGGAGAGGGAGGGGGAGGGGGCACAAAAGTCATGTACAAAGCTATGCACATATACCTCTATAGGTTGTAGAAAACGTGTGTGAGAGTTGTTTTGAACGAGATGAGGACGGGTGGGGGGACAGAGAAAGAGAGAGGGTGGGCGGGGGCAGAGAGAGAGAGAGAGAGAGAGAGAAAGAGAGAGAGAGAGAGAGAGAGAGAGAGCGAGTGGGATGGAGGAAGAAAGAGTTTAAGGACAGTGAGTCAGGGAAAGGGAGAGAGGGAGAGAGAGAGAGGAGTAGGGAGGGAGAGAGAGAGAGAAATGGAGGGTATGTGAGAGCGGGAGGCAGATGGAAAGGGAGAGAGGGGGAGAGAGAGAGAGAGAGAGAGAGAGAGAGAGAGAGAGAGCTTGCTTAGACAGATAAGTCTTGATATATGAACAACAAGTACTGGGGTAACGCCTTGGTAAGAGTATGGTTTTCTGAGGTGTTATTTATCTCAGATCCTTGACAAACAAGACAATAATTTCAGACAGCGAGGAAGACAGCGGTTAACCGTCGCTGAAAGGAGAAACCTCAAAGAAAGGAAATGTCTTTTTCAAAAGTAAGCTGATACATTCAATATTCCATGGGGTTTTTACGGTAGATATAGGCGTAGATGGGGGAGGGGGTATGGGCAAAGGGCGGGTGTGCCGTGTGCGGCATGTCCCTGTTATTTAGGAACAGAAATATGTACGCGCCTCAAAAGAGAAATGAAATTAAACTGAATTGCAGGTCAGCTTAGGCATAAGGGCCAAAGGTCGGCAGAGATTGTCATTTCTTTTCTAAGTATATCATCTTTTCTGTTTCTAAATTCTGCGGGCGAGCAAAGCGATCGAGCAAAAAGAAAATAAAGTTGACACGTTTATAGTACACAGACAATGTATGTTTATAATCACAGTATACAATATTGAAAATACTATATAAAGCTACAAAAATAGACTACCTAGCTTTCCGAATGAAAGGTGGTAGCTAAATGCCCGAATGGGATGCGGCGGGCGCTAACATTTTGATAATTTCTAAATTTTCGGGAGCGGCCGGGGGCGGTGCAGCCTCTTTAGTCCGCAGGCTTTCCTGCGCATTTGATATTGTTCGAATAGCCCTACTAATCGGCCGCATATGGTCTGTACAAAATCATGAAGTTTGATACGTCCCATCCCCCTCCCCTCTCCCCCCCCCCCTCCCATCCCGAAACATCGTGCCTATACGCTATCAAGTGGACTTATTTTATCTTTTAGGCAATATGACATTATTTATTTATATTTCTACCGCATCATGCATGATTGAAAACTGCATAGATCGTAAACAACAGATGGAATGTGTTAGTATAAAAGAAACTACTTGACAGCAAATATGTTCATTTTTTTCAAAATGTTCTTTAGTTAATAACCACGGGTCCATTTGTCACTGCGAACAAGTTATCGTCATAATAATGTTCTTACTGTGGCATGTAACTGGATTTGGGTTGAGAAGACGGTTTAGACAATAGGCGACATGCCACTATTCATTTATTTTTTTACCGCATCATGCATGATTGAAAACGGGAGAATCCGCCATTTGAATAAAAAAAGGATCGCAAACAACAGATGGAATGTGTTGGTATAAAAGAAACTACTTGACAGCAAATATGTTTATTTCTTCCAAATGCTGTATATATTAATAACTACGAGTCTTTGTCACTGTGAATAAGTTATCTGTATAATAATTTTCTCTATTGTGGAATGTAACATTTTGGCAGAGAAGACGGTTTTACAAGTACCTTAACATGCTTATTTAGTGATATTAGCAAACAAACTCAAGAATTCAAGATACCTTCTATGCGAATTCCATTACTTCTAAAATCAGTACAAATAGACAATGAGTTGTCATTTGTCGTCTATTAAAGCACTCTTAAAACATTCTCTTACGTGGTAGAATTTTGCACTAGTCTTTGCTCTTCCTAAAAAGAAACGAATTTAAGTATAGGCCTACTGAATCATCCTCCGACATAAAACGTATATTGTGAAGGACTCGTCAGCCCAAACATGAATGGGGAATATCATTCTCGAAGCAAATTTGTCGCATTTCACACAACAGATAAAGTGGAATGGGTAAAATGAACGATCGAGACGACATTTAGAGCCAAAAAACGCAGAAGCTTCATTCTTACTTGGTTTGTTTTTCCCTGGAATGCAAATACATGAATGGATCGTAACATTTACCTAAGAAAAGAGATGCATGTAGAATTCAAGAAGGGAGCTTAAATCGGACAAAATCGAAGTTCTCGAGAAGAGCTAGCACCGCTCATATTCTGATTGAAGGTTTTCTGCTCGATTTTTGTTTTTGTTTGAAGAAGAAGTAGAAGAAATAGAAGAAGGATAAGAAGGAGAAGGAGAAGAAGAAGAATTACGAAGAAGAACAACAACAAGAAAAAGAAGACGAAGAAAAATAGGCAAAATAGGAAGATCGAACAAAGATCGAGGCGATGGAGTAAAAACACAAGTAGAATAGCAAGTAAAAAGACAATCCAAAACACGAATGTCAAAAAATAGATTGGGGCAGCTTACTTGCACTCTACCGTTTCAAGATTGTTATGAACTGTAACATATAGCCACTCACTCTGTCACCCGTATACATACGAAATGAGTTCAATCTTTCACGGCACATTTAGACTTCATGTTAATCAAAGGTCACATGCTGAATATACAATATGACGAGAGTACAACATTCTGGGGGCACTGACATCATTTGGGGCACCTGCCCTACTCGCAAAATAATATATAAATAAATAAAATCTATGACTTGGGGAAGGGTGCGGGAGGGGTCTCATCGAATTCTCGTCTCGCCCTTTATTCCAATTTATCTTGTTATCCTTTTTGTTCATTTTCCTTTTTCTCCGACTAATTCGATGGGAGGGGGCACGTATCTCCTCTGTCCCCTTTGCCCCCATGTAGCTACTCCATTGCATGCACCCCCCTATTTTCGTAGTTCTATCTTGCTCTTTTTGTCCTCAATTTCCAGTCAGTGATGCGATCAATCTGATCAGATATCCGAAAAGATTCGTCTCTTATCGGGTCGATCTATCGTCATGCATATTCAGTAGGATTATCCTTTAGCCCTGTGTTCCATAAAGGAACCTCCGAGAGTTTCGTAAAAAAAGAAGTGAGGATTAGAAGAGGAATATCTAGTTCTATTTCCATCTATCACCCTAAAAGGAAAGGTTGGTCAAGGCTCACGTTTCATTGGGATTTCCGGACGATTTGTGTTTCGTATACCTCTTTTTAGAGTGCACCTCAAAACTTAATCAGAAAAAATTCAAAACAAAATCTACTTCATGGAAGGTCTGTCAAATGGGAGAGGCGTTTCTTAAAAAGAAATCGATAAGATTCATCTTTTTTTTTCTTTAATACTCAATCCTTTTTATCCATTTCCTCCCCCTCAGTCGCTATGCGTTAACAGTCTTTGCATGGTAAGTCTAGGGTGACACATAATGTATATATAGGCTCTGCTCAAGACTTTAAGAATGGTAAAAGTGTCAAATTAGAGTCTGTGCGTGCACATTACTCTCCCTCTCCGCCCCTTTCCCATCCTTCTTTTTTTATCCCCCAGTTTCTCTCTTCTATTTTCTTCTTCTTCCTCCTCCCCATCATCTTCTTTTTGTTCTTTTTCCTCATTTTTATCTTCCTTTCTTTCTTTCTTCTTCTCCTCATTCTCTTCCTCATCCTTTTTCTTGTTTTCCTTCTTCTTTCAATTACTTTGATGAAGGAATTCTCATAAATTAGTGGGTATTTCAATTCAAATTCACATCTAAAAATGGAAAAGTACAAGTGAATGTTAAGAAATAAAATCAGAGGTTTTTATTACATTCTTATATAGTAATAGCTTTGAAAGTTATAAACTTTCAGTACGCATGTACGTTGTATATTTGGAACTGTAATCAGTCACAATTTTATACGATAGTTCCATTCTAAGAACAAACAAATACACAGTTTTGAGGTCACTAAAAGCAAAAAAACTCACTAATACTAATCCGTAGCTTCTCCAATTTCCATTAGTTATTCATTTGACTGATATGTGACTACCTTTTAATTGCTCCATTTTGCTTGAACCCATATACGCAGATCAACTTAAGTCGCATCACTTTTTTGACAAATATAATCCTCCTCCAGCTTAAACTAGAGCTTCACGCATAATTGATCTTCATTGATACTGCTAGGAGTTACAGGCAAGGTGAACGAATGCCCACGGTAGTTTCTGTACATAAGGGTTCTACAGAGGAGGGGGTGTAAAATCTTGATAAAATCTCTGACAAGCAAGAAAAAAAGAAGTGAATTAGTTTTTGTTTATATTGCCAGATGTCTAAAAATAAAGAAATAAGGGGCATACGAACAAGATTAGGGGCACATTTTTATTTTCTTTGGTGAAGTTAACGTTTTAAAGGGATCCGGTAACTTTGTCTCAGATCCTTAAAAAAAAATCCTTGATTTAGCTCGTGCTGCAATCATAATTATAAACCTTTAGGACATACATGAACCCAATGACATTTACAAGCTGATCACCTGTCTGATTATCAAGATATGTATGATTGGAAATCAAAATCAAAATCGAAAAACACAATGAACAGGAAAGTGAATCTAACGCCATGATTTTTCAAGTGTACTGGCCAGGATTCCTCTGGGTTCTGTCAGTTAATCAGGTGAAGGCATCCCTGCCTGCTGAACCTATACAACTTGAACATTTGTTCGTCATCATATTGGTCCAAGGGATGCCTTCGGTCCCGTAAAACCCTCTCTCTCCTCAGAGCTGCGGCATGTTGTATTGCGTGCAATATGGCAGCCATCTTGGTATGACAGCTTACCGTAATTGACTGATGGTAGTTAATGCTACCTTTATAGCTGTAGTAAAGTTACCGCTGTTTCTGAAATGCTTACCACTAAAAAACTGTTGTAACTATTAATGCAATGGAAAGTTAACGCTGTTTCCTGACTTACCGCTAAAATAGGGGCTTAACGCTGCATTAAAAGTTTTATGCAACGGGGCCCTGATGAACTTTGGGAAAGAACTTTATATCTGAACTAATAATAGTGATCGCTCTTCCCAAAACAGGAGAAGGTATCAATATGATAGCTATTTTTGTTAGGGAAACAGAAATAGGCAATATACAAAAAAATAGCTCGATTTTGTTATGACATAGCTATAGGTACTGTCTGAAAACGGTAGAATACCTAGTGTTTATCCTAACATAGAAATACATGTATGTAACAGTACATGCACTTGAGCTTAATTCTTTGCATCAGAAAAAAGAAAATATGTCCAGTTTCAAAATGTCATGATACACTAAAACATAAAATCTGACCATTTCTATAGTGTAGTTTTACTTCTTGGCACAGATGCAGTTTTGCAGAACAAATCAGTAATAGCAATTTACTTGCAAGTTCCAAATAGGCAAGCAGATCATGATTCCATCATAGCTTGCAATTTTCATAAGAGTCTTTACAAATTGTAGCTGGAGTTCAAGTCCTTGTATCTGAAAGGTGTCACCTCTGCTTCTGCCTCTTCTCTTTAGGCTCCTCCCCAGGAGTTATCTCCTGTCTTGGTGTCTTCTTAACAGTCTTTGCCTCTAACTCTCTCAGCTGCTCCACTGACAAACCACTGGCTTCCAGACTAGCCTTCACCTTCCAAAGTTCATCGGGGGCCAGTTCTGTCACCTTCTGAACGGACATTGCAGACCTGATGGTGCCATTCCTGGTGACTGGAATCATAATTTTGAAGAAGAAAAAAATATATAATTACATGAAATAAATTGCTGGCCATAATCTATTAGGGGGTAAAAAGGACAGAAATCATAATTTTTCTAATTACGTGGATCAAGTATCTGTTGATAAACAGAGATAATGAGGAAATGAGAACAGAAAGTGGAAATGTGATTAAAACTATTTTGGGGCACTAGAGGGGCCACATTTGTTTTTTGTACATAAAATGTACTCAAGGTGTGCAAAATAGACCAGTTCACGGTTAGCACCTTACTACAATGACCCCGAACATCCACAGATCTTCAAAACATGAAGAGGTCCCACTTTATACATTTTGAAATAATCACTCCTATAGCGATGGAGGTGCTTTTATAAATTTTTCAAAGAATACTTTCACCTGTGTACCATGGAGTGCACTAAATGTGCATGAATGAATAATGATTACATAACATTCATGAGCACGTATCCAGTATTTCGTCTCCGTGTATTTCAAAATTTGTTCTGCAATGACCTTTATCTGCTCATGTTCAGACTGCAACCGTGAACTGGCTTATTGGGTTGAGCCACAGGGGATATGCCTACAGAATTTAAAGAAATTATGCTACATAATTTTCAACCCAGTAACTAAAAAAAATTCCTCATTCATTTCGTTAAAACTTTGTAAGATAGTGTTCAAGATCCCTCAGAGAGGGGCCTGTAAACTGTGTCATTTGCTGAGAGCTAAAAGGACGTCACAATGCAAAACTAGAGTTTACACCTTTCTTGCTTTTAACTGACTATGTGTGTTAATCTCAAATGAACCTGTAAATTAAAGGGGTTAAAAATCTAGCCTTCCTTCCACTCATACGTACATGCATGGACCAGTGCTGATTGGCAGTTGGTGGAGATAGCAGCTTTTGCTTTGTCCTCACTCAGACCAAATAAGCTCCCTCTGAAGATTGTACAGTTAAGGGAAATAAATACAGGTAGTATCATTATGATCTGAATATCTCGAATGAGGCCCGATGGCTCAGTGGTAGAGCAGGTTTAGGATAGAGTTTGGTCCAGGGTTAAGTTAAAAATTCCTTTAGTGAAGGAGATTGACAATGGAGCAATTGACATGGGAGCACTTCTGTATGGTGTCATTTATCTGTGAACATATTCAAAGGCATCTTGCAACTAACAAATTACTATTTCACACATAAGAGTGAAAAACAATGATTGACTAACAAAATATTTCTTCCTACAATCTACAAATACTGGAAAGTTTGAATTGAAAGAGTATCATTTAATGTGTTTAGGAGAATTTTTTCTTCTTCAAGGAGCGTTTTATTAGAAATACCTACATTTCATAAAACTTTTTTTTTTTAAAGGCATCGTTTAGCAATGTTAAAGCTGAGATGCACGGCCCTACATGTTACCAGTGTCTGTGATATGGTGTCATATTAAAGCCCTAAAGAAAAAAATGCGCTTCAAAATATCAAGAAGTGCCTCAAAAAAGTAAAAATCTTTGAGTGACCGGTTATACCATACTCGTTTCCTCCAATAGACTGTAATGTCATGTACACCGTTTGGCAAACGCAAAATTTGGTTTCAATCTCCAATCATAAATATCTTGATAATCAGACAGGCGATCGGCTTGTAAAAGTTATGGGGTTGGTGACTGACCTAAAGGTTTATAATTATCATTGCAGCATGAGCTAAATCCAGGATTTTGTTTCAGAATCTGAGACAAAGTTACCAGATCCCTTTAATGACATTTGTTGCACCTGATGCTACTATCTTGTGGTTATAGAAGAAGTGTGCCACAGGCTTAGCAATAAATACAGTATTCCTCGAATATTTTGTGTCTGAAAGAATTAACGATAACAACAAAAATGTTCTCCATAGGCTATATCTTTTGCTTTTATTTAGATACAAACAGAGTATAAAGAGAAGGTTGAGTTCTGGGAGAGGTGAAAAATAGTTTGTGAGCGTTATCATTGTTATTATGCAAGTGTGGAAGAACATCAGAATACAAATGTTCCCTGAAAAGCATGGCTCTTTAAATGCCTTAATATTCTAAATATGGCATGTACCATCATAAAAATCAGGACTGATTTTTTACGCTACATGTTCGTGTAGTCCCATATACATCTTTCTTACAGTGCTTGTAATTCTAACAAGACTGGGCCAAATTTCTGAATCCAAAACCTTGCAGTACACACCAATACTTAAGTGCTAGGTGATCAACCTTTTCTGATCCTTTCCACAACGTTTCTTTCACAATGCAATTGCATGACCAGAACTCAACTATATCTTTAAGATTTGTGGAATTTTATTGTTCTACCCTCTGGCAAACTTCTGTTAAAGCGGTTTCAATTCTAAAGTGGCTCAAGATTCTAAGCACTTTATGGCTATATATATACATACCCTACAGCTTGGATTCTAATAATCCTTTCAATCCCTCTTTCAAACATATAATCACTATTCAAAGAATTGTTTTATCCTAGTACTTATCAGGCTTTAGTACCTTTATGCAGGCTGTTAATTTGCTACACTAAAGCCTTTGGCAAACTCAATTACACCTTAAAAGCAAATGTCATTCTTTGTGATTTTTAAATTCAGGTCGAATGTATTTTTATAACCGACTTTTAAAATCAATTACACTGTCAAATAAATTAAAACTTATTTTGTAAAAAATACCCCCCCCCCCAAAAAAAAAATTAAATTAAAAAAAATTGATGTTAACTTGGAGCTAGGGTGCTATGTGTGTTCTTTTAAAGCCACACTGTACTACATGTACTTGTAGCTACTTGCTCCTTCTTTATAAAAAACTTCCCTAATTGGTGCCTGTTGGTCCCCCATGATCCTCTTTTTCTTATGTTAATTGAGAGCTGAGTTGATGAGAAAACCACCTGTCAGTGACCATGCTTGGTGGTCTAATCCCTTCTGGCTGCACTAGTACAGACAGGCTTTAAAACAATGCATATATCTCATTCCCTGTTTTTGACTTGATAAGGATACAAATTGGCAACATCCTGTGGTCCTCTCAGCTCCATTGCCTGTATTAAGAGTATCACACAGAAAAGAAAACAATTAAATTTGTTAATCTATTGCATAAAATTGTTGTTATACTAAATAGACTGAAAGGCCACAAAGAAAATATGGAACTCATGAAGAAATCACACATGTATTGTTACTTTCCATTCAAATCAATGTTTTCCTTCCTTCTATTTCTATTCTTTGTTTATATTTGTTTGACATCCTCCTACAACAGCAAGTATATATCCAATAAAATCAAGGATAAGTTGAAAACAGATTGCCATCAGCATCATTCCTATATGCTTTAAACAAAATGAAGTTAAGAGGGGGGTGGTAACGTCAAACTTTACTGCAGATGAGAGAGCTAAAGAATTGTTAATACAACTTATAATAATAATATAATAAAATTGATAATTTAGGAGCCTTAAAACAAATTTTAAAATACCATTGCTCTTACAAAATTATAGAAGATATATGACATACATAGACTTCACAATAGGTAAATCGCATTCAATTACTGAGGGAAGAACTATGTTTAAGGGGATCTTTTGAAAGGGGGAAGAGATATTAATTCTCTGGTGGAAAGGGGGATAATGTTTGATGTTTTCAAAGCAGCCAATGTAAAACAATTTTTGGTTGATAAGAGTCTGGAGATTTGAATAATTAGTTTACATTCCATAACTATTCAATACAAGAGGATGGCATACATAGCCTGTGTCTTTCTTTAGCCCAAGGCAAGCATGCAACATTTCTAAGAAATTCCTGTTCTTCCTAAGGGCCATGCAATTATTATTACCCCAGCAATTGCCAGGTGCACGGTACCCATTTATAACAGAGTGGAGAGTGGCAAATGTAGATTAATGTCTTGCCAGACTGGGATTTGAACCCTCAACCCTTGAATTGAGAGTCAAGTGAATGAACCACTACACCACGGACCCTCCACATAGAAAGATTTCTATACGTCTACTTCTTTATCAATATTACATGTTTCTTATGATGAAAATCTCTGTGAATTTGTATTTCATATATGTATATAAATATATTATTTAGAGAATTACGAAATAAATTGAATACTTTCAACTTAAAAAAGATACTCACATTTTCAACTGCACTGCTGATGATTATATTCTTGCCCTTTAAAGAACTAACGAGAGCAAGAGCATTGTGGAACACATTCCTTCGTAGACTGGTGTCTCGGATTGCTGGTGTATAACAGATCTCAAACTGAACTCCCCTTTCCAGTGCCTTGATAAAGAGTAGATAGAAGTTTGTTATGCAGCGTTCCCCTCAAAGAAAGATGAGAACCACAGTTTATAACTTTCCATGAGCCATTTTATTTTTGTTTATCCATGACCAGACGAATACCATGCAGTGATACAGATTTGTTCATGTTCGTGATGGCCTCTGCCTCCCCGGCTCCCCTCACAATTTTGGGAGATTTGTTTTACTTCTCCATAACTTTCAATGACTTTCCAAAAGAATGTATTTTTCCACGACCGTGGAAACCCTGTTACCTTTAATGTCTTGTTGTATGACGTATTAAATATGAAGCATACATGTAATTGTATAAATCCTGTCTATACATGTAACACTACATTTAGATATATGTCAACAATGAGATAAAAAAATGTCTAAGAGAAGACAAATGATACTGTATGCTGAGAGTCAAAAGGGCATTCATCCATATCCATTAAAGGGATAGTTGAGTTTTGTTGCAGAGGGCGCTACACAAAATAATTTTTTGTTAGATAATGTCAAACTTGAAAGAACATAATATTTAAATGACAAAATCATCTTTGTTTGATCAAAATCGGTTCAGAGACTGCTGAAATATAACAATTTCTAATACTTGTGTACCACCACAAATATTAGATATTTTGAAAAAAAATTGAAAAAAACGTTGAAAAAAACAAAATAACGCCTTTTTACATCGTATATCAGCCAATGCCGATGTCAGCTTTTTTGTTGGCATTTTCGTGTTGCTTATATTACCCACAATTAGCTGGCTCATGTATTGTTATTTTTAATTAAATAATTAATTAACGGTCACCATGTTTTTTGGAAAGTGGAGCTGAATTAGTATGATCATATTGGCTAATTTCACACATTTTGGGGTCTAAAATTACCTTCATCGCAATTTTAGGTTCTAAAAGGGCACTATAAATGTCATAGATAAGAATAAGAGCAATAACCATGCACTTTGAAGGCATTTGTGGTGTGAAAACAGTTCTAACTCAACTATCCCTTTAACACATAGTTAACACCCTTCTGGCTCTCAACAGCTGACAGGACTTACTGGTTTGATAGAGTGGTGCTTGAAGTAGAAAGGTAGCTTCATTGTCATGTCACACGAGATGATATCCACCTCGAGCTCTGTGCATGCTTTATGAAACATTTTTTCTGTGGTCGGCTCAACAGCCAGAACGTCGTATGTCGATACACCGTCAGACCGCTGAAGGGAAATTTAGTAGTTAGATAAAGGTTTGAACATTCACAAAAGCATCAGTCTAACATTAGAAAATTAATCATATCAATGTCAGTTTAGTATCAGCACTGTACATTCAAATTGTGTACTTACACCTGTATATCATACCTGCCAACATTTGAAAATGAGAATTAAGAATTTTTAGCATGGTATGTCTTCGAAAATCAGAAATCTGTACCCTTAACAGGCGTTCGCTCATGCAGCGGCAGTGTAACTGGCAATACGCAGTAAATCTGTGCTAAAAAGTGAATACAAATTCGCTGCTCAATCATGCAGCCCTTCAACGCACGCAATACGTGAACTCTCACATCGCGGCATATGATAAAACAAGCTTAATTTGGCTTAAGCAACACATTTTTTTGTTGTTGAAAATCCGGGATATCCCGCATTTTGGGGCCTAAAAATCCAGAAAAACAGGATATTGAGGATTATTCGGGAGAGTTGGCAGGTAAGCCTATGGTATATGTGTACAACTCAGGGGATGCCTAAATGAACCTACATAGTATGTTTCTGTGTCCTGGTATTAGCCAAGCTGCCTTGTAGAACTACAGATTTTCAAGGAATTTCTATCTACCCGTTACCAATTCTCTTCACCTGGATTGAGGGGAGCAAATGTAGATCCCTGTCTTGCAAAAGGAAATTAGTGCTGCAGCTGGGACTTGAACTGAAACTGTTTGATCTACAGTCCAGTGACATATCCTATAATTGCTAAACAGACTCTATAGGCGCAACTCCACTGTCTCTCCAGAAAGACGGTTGCCAACAACAATCGCTTTAGTGTGCATAATACAAGCATGGGTTTTTGAAAGAGGTATAATATATGGATAGGGTATAGTCAGTTGTGTCATTGTAGACACACATTAATTATTAGAAAAATAGATTTCTAAAAACAATCACATTTATACATTATATTACTTTGTCATTCTGTTTGCTTTTCAGTAGTTGATGTTTGTGACAACAACACAATATGAACTTACCAGAACAATAGTTTGTGCTGAATCATTCAGAGTCACAGTTAATCTGGAGAGAACCTTTATTTCCTTGCCTTGAACCTGTTTTAAACGAAGATTGAAAGTTTTTGAAAATCCCCAACCTAATTCCGCCAAACATCCTCTTATTAATTTGTATTACGTTTTCACCACAAATGTTGTAGAATAGTGAAGGTTACCTTCAAATATTGCTATAATCTAATCAAAGTTTTCAATGAACATTGGCAGGCTTGTCACAGAAAACAGTATTTTGAAATTCTGTAGAAACACACTGTTCATTCAGCCAATAAACTGAACTCCATTTTTGTTTTGGTCAAGCTGCAATCATGCAATGATAACATTGATCGCTTCAGGTTTATTTGTTCAAACACAATGTTCTTTAAGAGAGATTTTCATAAGCAGAGCTTCAAGAATATTACCTTCAGATAATCACTTTCCACCTCCTTTGGTCTCTCAGGGGCACTTGGAATCTGGAAGAGAGTGGTTAAAGAAAATATTGTAAAGGAATTCATGCATTTCCCATATTACTTTTCAAAGATCTTCCATTTGACAATATCATCATACAAAGCTCAAGTGTTAATTATCATTTTGTTAAAAAAAAGAAATCAGGGGTAAACAATTAAAAACAGGCATTTGTTTGTCTTTCTACAACTTCTATTCTGAGGTGTCAATATCAAAATGGAGGTGGAACAAGAGTCCCAAATGAGTGCCATATTCTCAATCTCATGTCCAGCCTTGAAGGTGCTGCTTATGTTTTGGGGAAAATCCAACTGAAGTAAAAAAAAAAAAAAAATACCCACACCAAACAAATAAATGAACAAAACGCATACCATTGAAATATTTCTGAAAAAGCGCTATCAAAGAAGGTAATTTGATAACAGCATTTTCTGGAATGTCCAATATTTGCTAAACCCTGTAAAAAAAGAAGAAGAAGAGCCTTTTCAGCTTTAATCATTGCATGGTGCAACCATTTCCATTATTCACTGAAAAATTATGTTTCAATGAACATGTAGATCTTGACATTCAAATATTATGTCCACGAACTTAGACATGTATATGCCACTTTAGAGAAACTTGCACCAATAGAGTCTAGACCTAAACAATTATAACATTTACTGAAGTTCTGAACTGCAGATCTCACCTTTGTTTTACGATCCAACTTGGCCTGCCTATGATTAATTGCAACAACTTCATAACCCACTGGAAAGAAGGGAGACAGAAAATAAACAACGTCGAATAACTAATCAAATAAACTGCATAATTTTCATTAATATTGCTAATACCATCAGAAATTTTGATAATTGACTGCTTGCATTGGTAGGCATCACATCAATTTTTCACCTCTCTCCAACTTCAACTTAAAGTTCAACTAAGCCTAGCACAAGGCGTTTGATTTGAAAATATATCTAGTGGGTCTAGACTATATTTGCCTTTTGTAATGATCTGCATTATTTCCTTCACTGGTAATACAGTGCATTGGTTATTTGACAGTTAAGTATTTTGTTATATACAATCGTTTTGCGATTGATTTTAATCATAGTAAAACTATAACTGGTTACTTTTGAACAGTAGGGGCGCTGGTCCAAGAATAAGGAATGTCTTCATAAACGAGAAATCGTCTTCATAAACGTGGACCGATGCGTCCTCAAAAATAAGGATCGTCCCCATTTTCGCAGATATTTTGTTTTTTTTATCAGCATGTTGGCGATGCCAAAAACGGATTCTGCCATGATTTTCCAAAACCTGCAGAGCACCGATGAAAAAAACGTCCGCGAAAATCAGACGATCCTTATTTTTGCGGACGCATTTGGTCCATGTTTATGAGGATATCTTCGTTAATGAGAGCGATCAATCTCGGACCAGCGCCCCTACTGTTGAATTTGACAAACATTGACAGTCAAAAAGACAAATTCTAGTGTGTATTTTGAGCATGGCGAGTCTGTTCTCAGTTTCACTCCCATTTTCCAACATGTAGGCTGTACCTGTTTCAGCTTCAGTTTAGTCTGGACTAGACTAGATTAGATCTAGACCCCAGGGGCTCGTTCCTAGAAACCAACGACAAGACAGTCATAACTTTATCCGCCAACTACGGAGATGTCTCTGATCTTCCTAAACCGTTTCACGAAGCGCTTACTAGCTAGTATCTCGTGAGATCGATATTATCGGCGAGAAGAGGAGCCGAGAATTAGCCTTAGTCGCAATACCACCAGATTATTACAAAATTAATATTAGGGAAAATGCAATTATTTAAATGAATTAGTAATAAAAAAGATTAAAAATGATACCAAGAAATAAGAGATCCAATATACTTCCAAATTTGTGTAGATTAAACAATTGAAGTACTTGTAAAATATAATTGTGAGTTTTTCATTACATGACCAGTGAATCAGTTTTGTTGTTGAGATGGGCACCCCCCGAATATTTTCATTTGATAGTTTATAAAAATACACCCTTATATTATTCTTTGAAAAAATACGATGTAATGAAATTTGTGTTCAATGTTTTTGGCATCAGCACAATATAAAAATTACAAAACTTCAATATTTCAAACGTTAAAACATATGTTTAAACCATTCACTTTGCATAATTGAAAATAAAATTCATCTCGACATTAATATGGGTCTGAAAACTAAAGAATACACTTCAAACTATGGCTTGCCTGCCATGGCAAAATACATATTCCTTCGACGAGTTTACAATGTGGAAATTATAGGCGGATAATCAGTTTATTTAAGTGGGAAAATCCTTAAATACAAACATGGCATATTTTCATGAGATTATCAAATACAAAAAACGATAATTCACTGTTTAAGTGAATGTGTAGAAAAATCATAGTTGGAGGATTTATTGTCCTTTTTTGCCAGCCATAGTCTACCCAATAAATGACATGTGATGGCGCTGCCCATCGACTAAATAGTTATGACAGAGATACGACGGTGTCAGAGGTGTCATAACTCCTTAGTCAGGATGTTGTCATTGATCTTGACAAAGAGGGCTTGGTGAAACACGTAGCGGACAAGTTGTTCACTAACGATGATTTAGTCAAGAAGTTAGACTTATGACGGTTTGTAGGAACGGGCCCCAGACAATCTAGATTCTATTTTACATTAATTTAATTAAGGGTGACAAAATCAATCATTCGATTCATTGTCTGTGTATCTATGCAGAAGGTTAATATTAACTAAATACTTTTATAACAGTAGATCTAGGCCTACTTAAGCTTCCCATACCAGACATTTTTCATGTGAGATTTATAAAGTTGGACTAGATTGTTTCGGGCGTGACTTTTGAGTTTGAGAGAGAGTCAAGTCGAGACGGCCGACGGAGAGGTGCAAACAGTCCGTATATGTCCACCGTAATCCTACTGCAAGTCACGCCTACACTCCCGGCTAACCTCACAGATCAACTCCGCTCAGCTCCGCCTCCAGTGGGGTCCGTGATGGACTGCACTGCGAAGTGTAAGTTAAGCTAAATATAGCTCACTAGACCATATTCAAAATTAATACTTACGCCTTGCTGCTCTAGCAATCGCTTTCTGTTTTCTTTTCTCGTCAAGACGGCTATCTATTAGATTTAGGTCGCTAAATTTTGTCATCTTGAGTGTTCTCGTGTCAGTCGCATCAAATCTTGAACACAGCACATGTATATACACTAATGACGTCATGGATAGCATGGACGGATATCATCCAATCACATCGCTCGTCATGCATAGACCTAGAGATTTCATTTTAACTCGTTATTGATTGGATAGGAGATTTCGGCAGCGCTCGAACCGGTTCAATTTGAAGCAGATCAGCAACAATTTTCAAAAGAGAATTGTTTAGGGTAAGAAACGTCTTTATTCACTATAATCTCATACGAATCAAATTATTCGAAAGTACTGCTCTGTAAAAAATGATATGTGGATGTTGTTAGAGTAAATGTCACGTAATATCAGGCAAATACACAACGTGTTTTCTGTGACTTCTGACTTTCTGTGTGTGTGTTTGGCTGTTGATGCAAAGGCCATGCCCATGGTATGCCTTGTTATGAGCCGAGTTACCCGCCTGACTGAGCGCGGGGCAGTGCCGTGCCGCGCGCGCTGGCGAAATTCGACGATGGTGCACTTGTACTTGTGCACAGATTGATGTAGACTAGCTCCACAGGCAAATTTTCCTTTGAGTCTAAACAAAAATTTGGACAGGCCAGTTTTCGAGTGGTGAGTCTATATCCCCTGTGTGATCATGGCGATTGAGCTACAAGAATTGATCTACAATTCCCCACCTTTACCATTTGATTTACCAAAGTGAACATGAGATGAGAGAGGACCGTTTAGCAAGATAACAGTTTCCCGGCATGACATCGGCATTGTCTTGATAATTTGACGTACTAATACTATGCATTGCAAGGTCGTTTTTCAACTAAATCATGTATTCCAATTGATTAATAATAATAATATAGATCTATGGATTCTTCCTTCCTGGGTACCTGTGGTGATGAAGCATTCACTTCACCTGCTAGACTATTAATTATCTTTTGTACTATGATTCTAAATTTGATAAATAAGTTGGTGCCGGAGTAGCTTGACCAGGAGTAATTATTTATATGTATTATTTATAATTTCTCAAGCACCAAGGTTCCACTTCGACTTATTGACATGTTCATGAAATAATCAATGACTTCATTTTATCCAAAGAGGTGTACATGCAGAATCAACACAATGAGTAGTATAGGAAGTTAGGAACCTTGTGTAAACGCCGTAAACTAACCAGTCTTTGGTAATTTACATTACCGAGACCAACACTGACATCATAATCCAATCTCATTTTCAATTTATCACACATCAGCAGTGAAAAAAGAGAAGACATTGCTCCAACACAATGAGTACCGAGTATAGTAACCTTGCGTAGACGCCGTAAACTAACCAGTCTTTGGTAACATCTCTAACACTGACATACATAATCCGAAGACATTTATAATTCAATCTCATTTTCAATTTATCACACATCAGCAGTGAAAAAGAGAAGACATTGCCAGCCAGCACCATGAGTAATCTACCAATCTCCGGTAACTTCTCCGACACCGAGGATGACGTGGTCGAGGACGAGGATGAGGAGTTGCGCTTCCAGGAGAGCATCAAGAAGGACCTCTTCACCGAGTTCACCTCGGCCACACCCATGAAGATGGCCAGGGTGAGCGTCGCTCACGCCAGGGAACCCATGAAGGTGTACCTCAGAGTCAGGCCATTCACGAATATTGAGATTCAAGACGGAGAGTCACAGGTACATAACTATTATATCAGGGCCCTGTCTTATATAGAGTTGGTATTAATCGCAACGAGATGGGGGACTGCAAACTTGCGACTGATTAGAGGACTTATGATTGATTTGGATCAATCGCAACTCTCTATAAGACAGACCCCAGTAAGGATGAGAGAGACGGGAACTGTTGAAGCTTGTGTGAAAACCAGGTAGAAAATTGAAAGAAAGAAATTAGGGTATTGCTATGTTTTTCTTATCTTTCAATTGGTTGTATGCATGTCCAAACACTGGTTTAAAGGGCAATTAAACTTTTCTAGCAAGTTATATTGGGTAAAGAAATATAACCGGAGAAATATATATATTCTAAGTTTTTGATTAAAAAAAGAAGCTAGCCCCAAGTACAAAGCAAGACATTTTAAAGAAATCATTTTTATATGACACTTCACTAAATGTGCAAATGAGGCACAGAAAAGCATCAAAGTACAGTATCAATTTACAGAGCATGTGCTCTATACATTATGGCTTTCTTATTGATTAATGCACTTCATCTCTGTATAAAAAAAAAATCCCCATCTCTTTACTCAACATAGACTTGAAACAATAATATGGGTGCTTTTCTGAATTATTTATTTATGTTCGGGGGGGGGGGGGGGGGGGCATTTTACAAAACTTGTCATTAGTGACAAATGACAGTTTTTGTTATAAGCTACTGAAATCCTGGCTTCTGATTGGTCATCGGCAGATTTGTCACTAATTTTTGATATTTGTCATTGAAAAAACGCTTTTATGAAACTCCCCCCAGGAGTGTATGGACCAGGAGAACCGCACCACTCTCCTCATGAGGGCACCCAAGAACAGCTTTGCCTTCAAGAGCAGTCAGCGAGGCTTCGGGGAGATGAATCACAAGTTCACCTTCTCCAACATCTTCGACGAAGACACCAGTCAGAAGGTGTTCTTTGACGACACCATGCTGGCCACGGTCAAGGACGTCATTGACGGCCACAACTGCCTGGTGTTCACCTACGGCGTGACCAATGCCGGCAAGACGTACACTATTCAAGGTTGGTATCGCATCTGGGCCCCATTTCACAAATGTGACAAATGACAGTTTTTGTTATGAGCTAGTTATATCCTTGCTTCTAATTAGTTATCAGCAGCGGAATTGTTACTGATTTTTGTCATTGAAAAAAGGTTTTGTGAAATGGGTCCCTGATTTGACCCAATGTAGTTGCACAATGTTTTTCAGAATATCAATCTTGTTGGAGAAGACTAAATGTATTCAATGGTTAGAAACTATTCAATTAGAATATTCTACAGGAAGTTATAAATGTCATTGTAATGATGCTTGTTGATTCATCATTACTATCCCAAAAGAACAAAAGAAAGTCAGTATGCTTTGGTGAGTTTCATTAAAAAAAAGTTAGAAGATGTTGCATCAAGAAAGAAGTCAAGAACCAACTGGGAAGAGAACATTAAGACATGGAATGGAATAATACTGCAAGAGTGTATAATAATTTATAAGAATAGAGGTGTGTGGAAAAAAACTATTCAACCATTGAACTGGGAGTAGAAAATACTGTGAGAGATAGATAATTGTTTATAATGATCACAGAGAAAAATATTAAAATTTTTTTTTTTTTTTTGGGGGGGGGCTACTATTCAAGCTTGCTTGCATGAGAGTAACACTCTTCAATTTGTTTCGCATTGAACTCTATGCAAATTTTTAGGGCTTTTTTATGACCTTCAGGGACTCTTTTGGGCATTTCTGGGGCTCATTCGCCCCGAGCCCCCGTGTATTTTCCCCCTAATTCATCACCTTTTTGTTGGCATTGTAACTAGGTGTTCCACAAGATGGAGGGATTTTACCACGATCCCTGGACGTGATCTTCAACAGCATAGAAAACAGACAGTACTTTTCAAACAGGGTGAAGCCACGCTACTTCTGTGATGTGGTCAAACTCTCCGAGAAGCAGCAGAAGAAAGAAGAGGATGTCAAGTCCAAGCTGCTTGCCCTGGGCAATGTCCCTTCCACCGGTGCAGCAGATCAGGTAGCGGATCTTATGTCTTAGATACAGTGCGTCCCAGAAAAAACTAAACCAAGTGTTATCGATGTTTTTTGATAGGCCTTAATCACAATTATAATTAATAAATGACACATATTTGTACAGCTTAAATCCTCTTCTTTCATTTGATGCAACTCATATTATGCATATTTCACGCATGAGTGATTACAAACATTTTGAAGAGAGGGTACCAAAAAGTCATTTAGGGAGCTGTATCTGAATTTCAAGTAGAACATTGCATTGTTGATTTTCTGCCCTTTCAAATGACACCTCAGTCAGGAATAATGAGCGAGGAATTAACAAAGTTCTGTTTGTTTAAAGTATTGCTTGCATTTCCATAAATTGATTAAACAAATTCGTTTTCACTGGCTGCCTGCCGTAGCGACAAACAGGGTTGACAAAAGACTTATCTCCGTTTCGTTGACGAGCAGCCACGGGTTTTTTTGGACGCACTGTACAGGCACTTGTCGTGGGAAACAAAAATTTATCAATGCGTATTAAAGTCATATTCTTGCCCTTTGCAGCAGAACTTTTTTCGTCTTCCATTTTTGGCACGATGCAGGTAAATGTGTCCCATAAGACATATGTGGACCTTATGTCTTTTATCCAGTTATCTGATCAAATTTCTTAAACTATCTTTCGTGCACCACAACTTGAGAATATTTTGGTAATTCAATTATCTTAGATATGATGTTTGAAAATCGAAATTGCTTTCTAAGATCTTTATGCAAGAGTCTCATCATCTGTCTTTGCTAGTTATCAGGGTTGTTACTGATGTTACTGATGAACAAGTTAGGTTTGTTAGTAGCTGTTACACAAGGAAAAATATTTATTTTATTTTCTTATTGACAACTCTTTCCTGCAGACGACGATGTTAGAGGGTGAGAGCATGATGGAGGATAGCCTGAACACGGACCTATCGCGGGCTTCCTATTCCGCCAGCAATGACGACACACAGGACTCGTCCAAACTCTCAGAGAGTAAGATGTCTACTACAAAAGACTTTGAGGGTAAGAGTTTAAAGGCATCATTTAACAATGTTAAATCTGAGATGCATGGCCCTACGTATTATAACTGTCTGTGATATGGTGTAATAATGAAGCCCTAAAAAAATTGCGCTTCAAAATGATCATGAAGTGCCTCAAAAAAAGTAAAAAAATTTGAGCGACCGGTATTACCATACTCATTTTCCTCAATAGACTGTAGTGTTTTAAAGACCGTTCGGAAAATGACAATTAAAAAATTTGATTTCCAATCATAAATATCTTGATAATCAGACAGTGTAAAAGTCATGGGATTCCTGACTGACCTAACGGTTTATAATTATGATAAGAGCATGAGCTAAATCAAGGATTTTGTTTCAGAATCTTGAGGCAATTAATGATACCTGGTCACTTTAACCTATCCTCTACTACAGCCTTGAGCAACCAGACATTCCTAGACGAGGTCAACGCCCGCATCCCGGACGACACCGTCGTCAACGTGGACGCGCAGGGACCCGTCAAGTTCAGCATCTGGATCTCCTTTGCCGAGATCTACAACGAGTACATGTACGACCTCCTGGAGCCGCTACCCAAGGAGAAGAAGATCAGACGACAGGCCCTCAAGCTGGCTGAGGACAAGAACGGCAGCATCTACATCAAGGGTATGCTATCCATCAATTGAGAACAACGGTAATAAGGATGTTACTGGTTTTCAACATTTTAACAAACTTCCAAGAAAAAATATGATATTTTCTTATCAAGGGTATGCTATCCAATCAATTGAGAACAACTGAAATAAGGATGTAACTGGTTTTCAACCATTCAACAAACTTCCAAGAAAAAATATGATATTTTCTTATCAAGGGTATGCTATCCTATCAATTGAGAACAACTGTATTATAAAGGTTGTCACTGGTTTTCAACCTTTTCAACAAACTTCAACGAAAAAATATGAACTTTTCTTTTATTAAATCAAAGAAGACCAATCTTTAATAGATAGGATTATTCCAGATCAAGCCAGTCATCAACACACAGACAAATAGCTCTTCTTATTTTTTTTCTGAAAAAAATAGTACTGCATTTTGGTACCAATATGATTTTTTACTACACAAAAATAGGAAATCATGCCAGTAAATAATGGGGACTTGTGCCTTGCATTCAACTGAAATTTTCTCCATAGCAATGAAAAGCATGATAATAAAAGCATGAGATTTACCTCCCCCCCAAAAAAAAAAAATAAAAAAAAAAAAAAAATAGCACTATCTATACTAGGTAGGTGATTAGCAAAGGTCTGTTGATCCAATCAACCAGTCCTTTTATATCTACCTGTTTCAAAATTTAATCTTCAGATTATGTATTATTACACATTGTATTTTTCATATCCTCTGTATAGGACTGAAGCAGATCCAAGTCAATAATGCAGATGAGGCCTATAGGGTTCTGAAGATAGGTCAGAGAAACCTCAGCATCGCAGCTACCAAACTCAATCACTGCTCCAGTAGAAGGTAAACAAAGGCAGGACTTTGTCAAGAATTCTCAGGACTTTAATAACCCTTTTTTATTGCAACCATATTTTATCTGCCTCTCCATCACCTTGACTGAAGACACACTTAAAAGCCTCTTTACATATGCTGAAGTAAACAGTCAGGGTTTACTGCCGATCTTTAAGCATACCATGCTTCACATTTTGTATCTTCGGACTACCATTACACAATAATTTTTTTTCTCCCAAGAATTTGTGTACGATTTCCACTTTATGTGCTACTGAATCTAAAGCACTCTAATGCTTGATCACCTTTTAAACTGCTATTGAACAGCCATCGATCTTTAATCAAATGATGTACATGTACTGTGCATATAATTTTTGATAGATGGTAAGCTAGATTACATTTCTCATATGGAGTACCGATCACTCTACCTAAACACCATATGAAATGCAGTGTAATTTTTATTTAATATTTTTGAATCAACAAGAATTTTTAACTTGTTATAAAACATTTTAGTATTCATATCTAAGTGTTAATTGTGGTATTTCTCATTTTTCAGTCACTGCATCTTCAGCATTAAGATTTTAAGAGTTGTAGACGTTGATGACCCTCATGTTGCCAGAGTCAGCCAGTAAGTACCTAAAATATACTTTTTGAAAACATGTATTACTTGCGAAACATTTTTCCACTTAAGAGTACTGTTATCAAATATTTGCATCGATGCATTTTCTTTCCACATTGAAATGGACTTTGATTATACATGTACCTGTAGATATTGTGAGTTTTATATTGTCATTTGTTTTCTACAAGAAAGAAAAAAATCTTTGTGACTATAAAGCTGCTCTTTTAGAATCATTTTCTGCAAAGCATGTAGGCAGGGCTTTGGCCTGGCCCCCAGCTTTGAATTTTGGACCACCAAAATGTTGAAATTTAATCTTATGTAAGCGAGCCCTACATATTTCTATCCAGACAACTTTTGGAGAAAAAAATTAGTATGGATTGAGTCCTGACAAATTGAATCACATTGTCTCTCTTTTGTTAGAAAGCCCTTTTAATCCAAAGAATTCTAAACCATACATGTATATATGCCTTATTTTGACTCATTACCATAATGCTACCTGGAAGACCTAGTGGCAGCAAATGAGAAGGCTTTTCAGTGTGCAAGAGCCTGGCAGAACATTTGAGCTCAGATGATGGACACGAAAGAAGATTACCAATGAGACAATAAGATTGATTCATGACATGTGTCTTGTGTTATCTCAAATTAATGAATATCCCCCTCTCACCTTGTATTTATTCATTCCAGCCTCTCATTCTGTGATCTTGCTGGATCCGAGCGCTACACTCGTACCCAGAACACGGGAGACAGACTGAAGGAGGCCGGGAATATCAACACCTCCCTCTTGACCCTTGGAAAGTGCATCCACGCTCTGCGGTACAACCAGAACCATCCAAAGTAAGTCTCACTAAAACAGTATCAATTGTCTTTTTATTGCTGTTAACAGAGCTGCCAACCATTACAATTTTCCCAGAATTATTCTGATTTTTCTCCAAATTTAAAAAAATATTTTTGTACATACCGCACGTCAAACAACTGCCCTTAAATGTTGATCTGGACCCTGTCTTACAAAGAGTTGATATCAATCGCAACTATGTACATAAGATATAGGAGACTGCAAACTTGCGATTGATTGGAGAACTTACGATTGATTTGGATCGATCGCAATTCTTTGTAAGATGGGGCCCAGATCACAAATTCAATAGAAAATCAAGGTTAAAACATACTTGAAGAAAAAAATATTATCAAAAAGAATGAAACGCTGATAATACCCCCCCCCCCCCCAAAAAAAAAAAAAAAAAAAAAAAAAAAATTACTTGTAAATATAATATAGATCCTAATATGGATAAAACAGCATTAGAATGGACATTTCTGCATTGGAAGTGTGTCGTGCGTGGTTGAAAGTTCTAATGAATTACTTCTTTTTTTGCCATCATGGTTCCTTTATTTTGGTCGCTGAAGGTTGGCAGCTCTGTGTTAATGCACTTTAGCTTTATTTTTGTTTTATTTTTTTTTGACAGGGATATCAGTTCCAGACTTTGCCTAGATTATGGTCCTAGCACCTCTCTCTTCAGGCTCTTACTGGATTTGTTTTGTTGAAATATAAGAGGCTCCAACTCCTATCTGCCTCTTTTCAGGCTATTGGGTACAGCCAAATAGTATCCTTGTTTTCATACATCCACCTTGCAGAGAACACCACAAAAAGGTGCTGGAGATTAAGAACAAACTGAATTTCAATTAATCAATTGTTGTGGTGCCCCTTCTCTTTCAAGAATACAAGACCACCTTTCCAATTTGTAAGGTGCCAATCAAAGTGACCATCACCCCTGACCCTCACCTCCTATTCAATTATATCATTCCATAAGTGGCCTCCCCCCCCCCCCCCCCCATTCCACAGAGTTCTAATTCTAGGCCTGGAACTTTATTCTATCCTACTCCTTTGTGCAGAAGTAATCCTTGAATATAGCCATTTCTAACCACGTTCCTTAACATTTCTTTCAGGGTGCATCCAAAGATCATCCCGTTTCGCGAGAGCAAACTGACTAGACTCTTCCAGAGTTTCTTCCTTGGCAAGGGCAAGGCTTCCATGGTTGTCAATGTCAACCAGTGTGCATCGGGATTCGATGAAACCATGCATGTCCTCAAGTTCTCAGCTATTGCCAAACAGGTCAGTGGCAAAGATTTGTGTAAAATATTACGTTTTTTTTTGCCATGAGTACGGAAGTACATTTTTTGTATGTTTTGTAAAAGATTTTTAATTAAAAACAAATAATTATAAATTGATGTTTTTCTTAATTTCCGATCATGGGCATTGTTTTGTATGTGAATTATGTACCTATGTCTTCAAAGGATGCACGTAAGACGGGGATACGGGGCCTCGATTTCGCTCAAACTTTTTTTGATTGGATCATCTGATTTTTCTGCTTCTATTTGAAAGTAAGTTATTGCTGGAGTGAACTTGCCCTTTAATTACATTCAAGTTTGTAAGCTGTAAGTACAGGGAATGCAGCTGGCATTAATCATATTTGCGTTTAAACATTCCTGAAATCGATGCCATACTGACATTCTATTCATTAGCCATTACTCAATACAATATTCATGGTACCAAATCAGGGATGCCAATTTTCAGGCAATAGGCTCATTCAGGCCCTGGTGAGTTATTTTCAGACCATAGTTTCAGCTTTTTTGTGTACAAAATAGCTCATTCTAGGTGATTTTCAGGCCCTCTGATCACTTCTAACTGGCATCCCTGACCAAATGCAAATTCATTAGTTCAATTAATTCAAATTGTAACCTAGGTAACGACCGTCACTTCAAAACTGGATAACAAGTGGAAGGAACCTCCTGCTAAGAAAGCTAAACGGCCTCTACGGAACGTCTCCCTGGCTCTGAACCAGGCCCTGGACTGCAAGGTCAAAGGTCAAAGGCCGTCGGTGCCGTGGGCGACCCCTGGCACCATCGCCCAGGTGATGAAGGAGACCGGTCACGTGGCTTCCATCGAGGATACAGTTTTTGAGGAGGATGAGGAGGAGGAGGAAGAGGAAGAGGAAGAGGAGGATAGTGAATCAGATGTAGCCGACACTCCGGTAGCTAAGAAGAATGAGAACACTTCCAAGGTGAGACAAGTGAAGATGTGGCTGATGGAAACAAGTATCACATTTTCTTGACCAAATGCAAAGGTAGCTCCCGTTCCTAAAATGTTAACAGAAATCTGTATCGCATTTCTAATATACCAGTTTACTTACATATTAAAAATTTTATACAAAAAATTGTTCTTGAAAACTTGAAGGTCTCCCAGAGGCTTGCCCAACTTAGCAGCAAGTAATTGATGCAAACCGGATTCTCAGTATTGTTTGTAGTTCATTTGATGAATAACAGGTTAGTGGAATAACTCGTCACTAGGTCCCCAGGAAAGAAACATCCATAAATTTGAATATGTTAGTGCACCGGTCTATTATATATTACTGATAGCAGCATTTGTAGTGATTCTAAATCACCTATCCCTTAACTCTTACTGTACTGGGGGGGGGGGGGGGGGCCTCCCAGCTCAAAATAGCCCATTACAGTCAGCAGGCCTGATAAAAACCCGATTTAAATTGGTTTCCCTGATTATTTTTTTTCTCGATTTTTTTTTCTTCCCGATTTAATTTTTTTTTTTTTTCCCTCTTTTACCCTGATTTTACAGATTTCCCCATTATTTTCTCTAATATTCCCTATTTTTCCCCAATTTTCTTACTCAAAAGGGGGGGGGGGGGGAATGTTGCTAGATGCCATTTTTTCCCAGCGAATCCTCTTCTCTTTTTTTTTTACCTAAGGGGGCGTGGTTGAGGGGAAACAAAAAAACTTTTTTTTTAGTGCTCACTATCACCCCTTAGTAAGGGTTTAAATACAGTATTTACCGGCGTAAAGGCCGCAGTATTTTTGGAAGAGAAAATATCAAAAAGTCGGGGTACGGCCTATGCGGCGAAAGAGTAAAAAAAAATTTAAAAAGTAAGTCAAAACCAACACGAAATTCACATATGGGACTAGATCTACGAACGTTACAATAACTATACATTTCCACACATCTTACCGACAATTTTATCTTGGATTGTTGACATAAAGACGAAAATAAACTTCCAAAAACAATATCTGCCGATAGATCTTGATCTAAGTTCGTGCCAATGCATTGCAAAAGTAAAAGAAGGGCCCATTTAACGGAGCTGCCGCGAAGCATTTAGCACGCGAAGTCGCTATTTTGAATCCATTTCAATACACAAGAGAGAGGCGCAATGTATACATCACAGAAAACTCCATATGCTAGCATCAGTGCAGCATGGCCAAGCGGTCTAAGGCGCTGATTTTAGTCATATCAACATTTGAATGCAAGAGATCAAATCCCGGCTTTGACAAAAAAATTTTTTTTTTTTTTTTTCTTGAGCGGTCTTAGGCGGTGATTTTAGTCACATCAACATTTGTACGCAAGAGATCAAATCCCGACTTCGACAATTTTTTTTTTTTTTTTTTTAAATGTCAAAATCGAGGGTGCGGCCTATACGGCGCTGCGGCCTTATCGCCGGCAAATACGGTAAATATATTCCTTTTTTCCCTCCTTCTCTTCATTGTATATACAACAGATCCAGAAAGAGCTAATGGCCGTCATTGACATACTGAAGCAGAAGCTGGTGGATGAGAAATCTGAGAAGTTCTACCTGGAGACTAAGATCAGGGAAGAGGTTTGCCAGGAGATGGCTGATCAGCTGGTAGAGATTGAGCAAGACTACAAGTAAGTAGTATACAAAGTATGCGTTGAATGAATGACAAATGCCCCCGCAACCATTTTTCCTATCAAGTATAGTCAATACTAACCATTATTATCTATGTAAGGCTTCCAAGAGGTACAGTAAATCAGTGTTTCCAATATTTTTAGCGCAGTACACTCATGACATTGTTCTTACCTTGCCTGTCATATCTATATTTTTTAAAACTTCATACCTGTTTTCCATACATTATACTTGATTTGAAATCTTATTTTTGTGCGTGTAATATACGCTTATACGCTTGTATTTAAAATAAAAACAAATTAATTTTTTTGTTGTTGAAGTAAATGTGGAACTAATAAACTTCAAACTTCAAGGCCATCCAATATTATATAAATATTACCTCTCGTTACCAGGGACAAAGTTACTTACTTTGGTTTTTGCTTTGGTATCACTTGTATGACCTTTTATGCCTGGTTGCTAAGCAGAGTTCTGGAATCAAATTTTTTGTCAACGTTTGATAATTTTCATAAAAATGTTGAAATGCTTGTTCTACTTTTGTCCTGATTATACAGTGAACGGCTGGAGGAAGATAAGCAACGAGCCGAGGAGGTTTACGAGAAGCGTCTGGAGATCTACGCCAAGTCCGTCAAGAAGACGCGCAAGAGGGAGCGCAACGATGGGGACGCGGCGTCTGATGCGGCCGAGCAAGTTTCCATCTCTCTTCTAGCCGCTGAGCAGAACAAAGTCAGGGTAAATATAAAGATGTTGATAGTGATGATTATAATGATGATGAGGGTGATGATTGTGATGTTGACAATGATTGACAGCTACGATAATTATGAAATACAGAATGGTAACCTCTTCTGGATTTTTTTTCTCTGTCTTTTTTTTTTTGAGGGGGGGGGAATACAGATATGTTCCTAAGAATGATGATAACATAACATATTGTGGAATGCATATCACAGAACACATACATGTCCCTAAAGAATGCAAGTACCGTAACTAACGGTGTATAAACCGCCCTCGTGTATTAACCGTACCCCTCTTTTTCGCCCTTAAAAAAAACAGAAAAAAAAAACAACCTTTTTGCCGACTTTGTCGGCAGCAAGCCAGGTCCGTGTTAAAAAACCCACGCGGGAAGGCCTTTCACTTAACTGCGAGGTGCAGCTGAATTTGTAAGATCATTGATGTAAATTTAAAAAACAGTAAAGGACCTAGGATAGAACCTTGTGGTACGCGGTGTAATAGAAGAAAAATTGAAGGAATTATTATTATAAACTACATATTGAGATCTATCAGAAAGATTACTTTCAAACCAAGATGACAGACAAATTCGAGTGTTGTTCTAGTTTCCGAGTGGTGATTCAACACACCGATAACTGAGCTGGGAGACATTGCCAGGCATAGCGCCAGGTGGAGGGGAATAAATCAAAACTTTAATAAAACATAATTTTTGTTGTTTTTTTTGTTTTGTTTTTGTTTTGTGTATCGTGTATAAACCGCACCCCCGACTTTGAATTCATTTCGGCGGCAAAAAGGTGCGGTTTATACACTGTTAATTACGGTAGTGAAATACAAAACGTGCTGAAACGACTGATACACAGATTAAGCAGGACACATCTTCAAGCCCCTTTTTACTGTTGGAAGCATCTGTGAAGAGAGTTTGATTTTATCAAGAATGTCACTTTTTAATAACATATAGTCTTCCTGTTCTGTATTTCTATCTATACATTGACTTTCATTTATATTTATCTACTTCTTTGATAGGATCGCAATGCACAGATTGAAAAGCTGACTTCCGACCTGGAGTCAACTGAAAATTCTCTGAGAGACTTTGAGGATCGTATGCACAATGAAGTAAGACATATCTTCTGAAACGATTTATATGTACAGCTAGAAAGGTTCATTTTGGTCTTCACCTTGTTTGTTCCAAATTTATTTTTGCTCCTCTTGTCATCTTAACTGGTGTGTGTTTACATTTATAATTACCTGACCCACTGCTTGTATAATGTTGTCTATATAGCTCAGGTTGAGTTTGGACATATATCAAGATCAAGAATTTAACAATGTGTTTGATCACGTTTTCATGCCACATGTGAATTTGGAATACACTCTTGATAGAGCAAAAAATAGAGACAAGGTTTCTTAAATTGTGACTCAAGTTATTTTTTCCCAGTCACCCCGAATGCCAAAAAGCTGTAGTGGTATGAGGGTTCTAGGGCTAGTCAGTTGAGAAACATATGAAGATTTCTTGTGCATGGCCATTATATTTTACAGATTGATGATCACGCACCAAGTTGCCTCATCAGACATATCAAAGATATTTCGTAGCACCCTTCATTTCCACCTGTCATATCAAGATTTTCTGAAAATCAGAGAACTTCTGATATACCGTATGTCTCTTTACAATAATAATAATAATAATATTCCGCTTTGATTTAGCACCCAATACATCCACACAAGCGCCTTACAGATATATTATTACCCCGGTCATCGGATTCAGGCTTACCCGCACACAATGTATGCACATTTTCCACTCCCTGGGGAGCACGTCAGTTTCATTTTTCTTGTGTAATTTGCAGGCTACTGAGCTGAACAAAACAATTGCTGATCAGAAGAAATGTATTGCAGAGAATGAATCAAAGGTCAGCAGTCGCGAGAAGGAATTTACGGATAGTAAAGAGGCTCTGCAAAATATGGTAAAAACTTTTTACAAAATAAAATTAACTCTTACAGTTTAGTCTATATGAATAGTAGAGGATATGATTTTGGAAACATGTGTCTATTTTACTTCTGTTTCAAACAAATTTTATCAGAGCAGCATTTTCCCCCCTTAGATGTATATGAAGCTTTTATTTCCTCCTAATATTTGAAATAAAAAGCAACTCAACTATTTAGGAAATAAGTACATGTTAATTTCTTTAATAAATTATTGAGTGTCATTCAAATTGAGTCAAGACTTTATTAATGTTTTCAGGTATAGTAGCTTTGATTTCCCCCAGATATTTGAATCTAAAAAATAAACTTGACTTTTTAGGAAATAAAAATATGTTTATTTCTTTTTAATCTTTTAAGTGGCATTCAAATTGAGTCAAGACTTTGTTGATGTTTTGTGACAGCCTTAAAGACTGCAAATTCTTTTCTGAATTCTGAAATAACATAGATTTTCCCATTACACCAATTTGTGTTTTTCACCATATTTCTGTCTAGATTGATGAATTAAAAAGAACCATCGTAGAACAGAAGCATAGACTTGTAGAGCAAGAACGAGACATCAATTCACATGAGAAGGAAGAGATGGGAGATAAAGAGTCCCTTCAAGAACAGGTTTGTTTAGACTGATGGCATGGAAAGTCTTTTAAGCCCCCCCCCCCCCCCCCCCCCCCCGAGAAAAAGGCAACAAAATACAATGGCAGAATGTAAAGAGTAATGTGCGTCATATTTCTGTTTCCAATAAATAAGCAGCTTTTGATGAGTAGTCTTTGCCACATAGGACTAATTCTTTCTTGCCCCCATTTGATATGTATGTACCTATTAAATGTGTTTTATTGAGCTACTGATGTTTTTTTTTTTATGGCTGTTAACCATGTCTTGGATGAACGAAACACATTGATGTTTAAAAAAATTGTATCTTTTGTGCAACTGACATTTGTTATCTTTTATTCAAAGCAACTTGCCTTTAGCAAGGGTTTTCCTTCAGCATGCAATATTGTTTTTTTATTGGTAGAAATTTCAAAATAATATTTCACTTCAAACTTGCGATTTCGTTTTCAGATTTCGGAATTGAACAAGACCGTTGCCAATCAGAAGAAATGTCTTGAGGAGAAAGAGGCGTGGTTTAGCTGTCGAGAGAAGGAGCTAACGGAGAGTAAAGATGCACTGCAAAAACAGGTATGGGGTCTGAGTTCAAAACTTGAGAAAGAAAGTGGTATATTTGTGGTTCAAAGAAAATCAATTTATCATCTGTTTGAACCCAAAAGGGAGTTATCTCGTACCATTTCACACAGACTAAAAATCCTTCTGTTTCCAAAAGATCAATTTTAAATTCAATTTTATGTATCAACATGATGGAAAAGGGCTTGATTTAAACTCAGCTGAACATCATGTGCATATTTGAGTGAAATGTTAAAGAAGACAGTTTCCAAGAAAATAAAATTATCTCAAAGATTAAATGAGCATTTGTAATGTGGATTTTAAATTAGAAGGTTTTATAATGATTTTTTTTTTTTTTTTTTTTTTTAAAGAAGAAAATAAATTGGAGAGTGGCACTAAACCTAAGCCAGGAGATGTACTTCTGTGCAAAACTTTGATTACAATACAAATGGTTCTCCTTGGCTTTCTTTGCTTGCAGGTTGAAGAACTGAGCCAAACAATTAGCGAGGAGAGAGAGAAGGGAAGAGAGATAATGGAGAACAATGAGACTATTCTGGAACAGGTTGGTTACCTAATCATTAATCAATTAAAATCAAAATATTGTCTGTTTTGAGCCATAAGGGTGTTACACAATTTTACACAGAGTTAAAAAAAAAAAATTTTGGTTCCAAAAGGACAATTTAAATTCGCTTTTTAAAATTTTTTTTTTTTTTAAAATCAACGTGATGACATGATGGAAAAGAGCATGATTTAAATTCAGTTGAAAATCATGTGCATTTTGCGAGTAGAATGTTAAAGAAGACAGATTCTAATTTTAATACCGATGGTCCTTCTTGGATTCTTTGCTTGCAGATGGAAGAACTGAACCAAACCGGTAGAGAAAATAAAGAGGCTTTCACACAGATGGAGAAAAAAGTGAGCTCACGTGCAAAGGAAGAAAAGGAAGTCAAAGAGGCTCTCCAGAAACAGGTTTGTTACCTAATCATTACCAGGGAATAGTTCCACGAAATTTCCATAAGTACACGTTCACTGATATCCTAAATAAAAAGTGTGCATTAAAATTAGAAATTGTTAGCACTCGGTTAGACACAGGATCATTTATATTTCTAACATTAGGGAAAATGGACACGTCATACATATCCAGCATTAGTATAATCATTTTGGATTTGCGTTGACAATTCTATACTATATGTTTAATGTATAACATGAATTCTCTTCATAAACTGCAATGTTTCCAATATATTTATTTATTTTTATTTTTTTAATATTTAAATATGAGCAATGTGTTACTGTTCTTTTTTTTCTTCTATTTTACAGATATGTGAGCTGAATCAAACAATTGCAGATCTAAATGACTGTCTGAATGAGAAGGAATCAGAGATCAGCTCTCAAGAGAAAGAGATTTCAGACACCAACGAGACAGTGCAGAAGCAGGTATGTTTCATTCCAGATCTACCTTAAAAATGGATTCAAATTTACTGTAAATTGTTATTATTATTTTTTTAACGAATGTTTGATAATACTTTGAAATTTACCACAGTATACATATGCAATGTAAGTTACATTTTTCCATAGTTGATATTACATCCGAGTATTGAGTGATGATTTCAAGAAATGTAATTTATATTCTTTTTCATAAATACAATAGGGCCATTCAAATCGAGACAGATACTGTTCTTTTTTTACCTCTTATCAAAGAATTTTGTTTTGTTGCTTGTGTCATAATTTTCCTGATATTGTTTCGTGTGTACACTGTAGATTGCGGACCTAAATAGCAACCATTGAAGAGCAGAAAATAAAGCATGACATTTCTGTACTATATATTTACTCTATCACATGATTTCTCTCCATGTTCCCAATTCTGTATTTAAAAAATATGAACATTTTAATAATGTTCTGTCTTCCTTTTCAGATTTGTGAGCTGAATCAATTAATTGCAGATCAAAATAACTGTCTGAAGGAAGAAAAAACAAAGATCGATGCTCAAGAAAAAAGGATTTCAGACATCAAAGAAACATTACAGAAACAGGTGTGTTTGACTCAAGATCTACCTTAAAAAAATTATTTAAATTTACTGCAAAGTTTTTATGTAAACAAAATTTAATGTAAGTTTTTCCTTAGTTGATATTACGTCAGAGTGTTGAGTATTAATTTGAAAAAAAAGTGATCTAGATCCATTTTTATGAATACAATGGACCATTTAAATTGAGACAGATTCTGTTCTTTTGTATCTCTAATCAAACAAGTTTTCTTTACGTTTGTCACAATTTCTTGTGTAGATTGTGGACCTAACCCAAACCATAAAAGAGCAGAAAGAGAAGCTTGTAGACAGGGAGACAGAAATCAGTGCACATGAGAAGGAGCAAGTGGAAGGAAAAGACTCTCTTCAAAAAGAGGTTTGTGACTTAATTGTTACCCTAAGGATTAGGAACGTACTTACACCAACAAGACCAAGACCAGACCAAACCAAAATACAGTCAAACCTGTCTATAGCGACCGCCCAAGGGAAACATAAAAAGTGGTCCTTGTAGACAGGTGGTCTTTGTAGACAGGTGGTCTTTGTAGACAGGTTCCTTTAGTACACGTTTCAATGAGAAACCATTTTCAAGGGAAACAAAAAAATGTGGCCTTTGTAGACAGGTGGTCACTAAAGCAGGTTTGACTGTACAAGATTACTGTTACCTACAAGTGGCTTAGAATCGGTCAGTGTGGAATGGTGTGGTTTGGTGATGTGACCAAGGAAAAACGACCTCACACTTTCACTGCCTCCAACTTTAGCACTGTTGTATAGTACTAATCAGGCCTGATAAAAACCCGATTTAAATCGGTTTCCCAATTTTTTTTTTTATTTATTTCCGATTTTTTTTTTTCTTCTTCCTTCATCTTCCAGATTTTTTTTTAAAATTTTTTTTTTTTTAACCAGATTCCCCCCCCCCCCTATTTTTTCCCCAATTTTCTTACTCAAAAAGGGGGAATGTTGTTAAAAGCCATTTTTTCCACGCGAATCCTCTTCTTTTTTTTACTCAAAAGGGGGGGGGGGGGGGGGTGTGGTTGAGGGGAAAACAAAAACACTATTATTTTTTTTAGTGCTCACTATCACCCCCGACTATAAATGGACTTCGATCTCCATATTCAAATGGTGAATGGACATGTGTTGTTGAGAAATTATGAAATACAACAATTCTATTCAATTCAAATAATTGTATTCACGTAATCCAATCAAAACTTTTAAAAGGAGTAATAATGCAATTAGAAAAAAAGGAGAGTTGTCAGCCATATCATTTTCCTTTAATTCTTCCAACTACTTTAATAGCAGTGCAACTGTCTTATTAATTATATCATTTCCTCTCCAATCAGAATTTGATGACTTTGTTGACTGTTTATAGATTTCTGAGCTGAAAAGAACAATTGCTGATCTAGAGAAAAGTCTAGAGGAGGAAGAGGCCAAGTCCAGCACTCAGGAGAAGCTGCGTTTAGAGAGTAAAGAGACGCTGCAAAAACAGGTATGCTAGCTGTCGATTTAGACATTTCAAGAAAGCCAAGTAAAATATTTTTGCATTAAAGGTACTACGTCCCATTTGCATCCAACATCGAATTCTGTAGAACTTTGCAGGAATTATGAATATTACTATATTTATTATAGTTTTTTTATTCAGCAAAAACAAAGAAACTCATTGAATACAAAACATATATAATAGTCACATGGATGCTAGGAAAAGAAAAAGATTAACTAAATCCTATCTGTGAAATTTAAACGTTAGCAGTGTCCTGGTATTAAAATTATGCAGACACCATCAAATTCCAGCGCAAGATTCTTTTGTGTAAAAAATTATCGCAAAAAATATAGAGGGGGGGGGGGGGGCTCCTAAGGGGCAGGGTGCCATGTTGTATAATTCAGCCTGCATTTGTTTCATTTTCCTTTCCAGTACCAGTGCCTATTTCCCCATTCTCAGCTCAATTATTGTGTCACATTGTTGTCAGATCAATGAACTAAATGGAAGGCTTTTTCAGATATGGTGCGATAAACTGCATGCGTCTTAAATGAATGGCAACTGCGTGTCATGAAAGACTTGAGCGCATCCACTGGGCTCTTTGTTATCAGGTTCAGAAATCTGAAGTGCATTGTACTTTATGCCATCGTGAAAAACAGCAGCGTTTTTTGCGGCATCATATCGGTAGGATGCCACCGTTATTGTTGGTCAAACAGTTTTTGAGCATCAAGTTACTCCTGCCTGGAATGCTCCCCAGGGAGTGGAGATTGTGCACACAGTGTGTGCAGACAAGTATTGAATCCAGTGACCGGGGTAATAGTATATCTGTAAAGCGCTTAGAGACAGCGTAGATGTATTAAGCGCTATGTAAAAGCGGAATATTATTATTATTATGTCATCGTGAAAAACCACAGCGGTTTTTGCCACGTTATTTCTGAATGAGCCTTTACAGAGCATAATCATAGTATTTTAGAGAGAGAAACAGAGATCAGCAACCATGGGAAGTAAATGGAAGGAATAATTTTATTTCATAGTTTCATTTTTCCTAAGTACATCATTCCCTTTCTGTTGGAAAAGATGAGAACTATGTCTTGATCTGATAAATTGTTTTTATAGATTTCTGAGCTTGAAGGAACAATTGAAGATCAGAAGAAATGTCTTGCAGAGAATGAAGCAAAGTTCAATGCTCAAAAGAAAGAACTTACGGACAGCAAAGAATCCGTGCAAAAACAGGTACATCAATTATTTCCTTTACGAGTTATATTTGGACCCAATGTATTGATTTAAAAAAAAAAGAGGCTATGTAGCATGATTGAACAGTTATTAAGGATATATTGACTGCTTTGAGAGGCATAGTGGTTTCTATAGGGTCAAGGGAAACTCACAACCTGCTATGACCCCAAGGCGCTTGCGCCGCGGGGTCATAGCAGGTTGTGAGTTTCCTGAGACCCTATAGAAACCACTATGCCTCGAATATTAAAAGCAGTCAATATATATTTTATATACCGAAAAAAAGGAAAATGTTGACTCACCCATTTAGGTTTCCATCTCTTTGAAGTCATGAATATTAACACCAACAATAACTTGTGTACAGTATGAAATCCAACAAGCTGTGCTACAGTAGAACAGGGAATACCAAACACGTTTACACGAACAGTAACTTTTGTACAGGATGATATCACCAACAAGCTGTGCTCCAGTAGCTGTGTCCTCCATTTTGCCTCTTTATTGACAAAAAAATGGAAACAAAAAACCCCAGTATTTTGCGATCGAGACTAGTACACAAAATGGCGATCGGTCGTCTGCGCTGCGTGGATTGGTAGATTCGTCGCCTGAATGCAGCGACCGAAATCGAATTGCACTCAAACACCGTTAACGGTATTGCGCATCGGTCATCGCACAAAAGAAACTTATACGGTAACACGTAAACCAAAATGGGGATCGCAGCAAAATGACGTCACGTTTCACAGCCATGGAAAAAGTGCTATGAAAAATGGATATAAACCGGTAATGCCGGGAAAAATGACTATGAATTTCAATTAGCGGGCATGGTTAAGAACATGACTGCATTTTCAACCAATCAGAAGACAGGATTAGTAAAGAATCTTAAAATGAGGTATATAAATTTATATATATAATGTTATACAATTATTGATATAAGCCATCTGTTTCCTTTCACCATATCTTTTTTAGATTGATGACTTAAACAAAATTACTGTAGAACAGAAACAGAAGCTTGCAGAGAGGGAGACAGAAATCAGCACACATGAGAAGAAGCAAGTGGAAGGAAAAGAGGCTCTTCAAGAACAGGTTTGTTATCTAATACAGTACATATTTTAGCATCAGAGAAGGTTTTAAATGAAATTCAGGCAGCAGCCTGCATAAGTTTTCAGTTGTAACAAATTTGTCCATATGTGACCCTATATTTGGTCTTGTGTATAGTTCAGGTGTTTATTTTGGGGTTCAAAATAGTTGAATTATAGTTAAAAATGAAATAAAACAATAAAATACATACAGTTAAAAAAACATAAGAAATACGTAAGAAATTATCAAAATAATAGATAACATAAGAAATAACCTGGCTCTTCAAATTTTTGTTGTTGTATTATTATCCCAAATGATCTAAAGAATATTGTAGTGAAAACTAATGTTTAAATATGAAGAATATATGATTTATGGGTTTTAAAAAAATGTGAATTTTATTACCTTCTTTGCATACATGTAAGTTACCTTAAATATGCAAATAAGTGAATATTTAAAAAAAAATTAAAATTACCATAGTAATCTATACACTTCACTTGACATGCATGAACAAATTTTGCGGAGATCATGGGGGGGGGGGGGGGCCTTAGAAGCCCGCCCCCCCCCCCCCCCCCCCCCCCAGGCTATGCAGATTCAAAATAGCCCAGGCTAGATAGGGGTGAACAAAGGTTTTATAGTTTGGATTTTAATCAGGAAAAATTGTCCATTTTCTTTGAATGACATTCAACTGAATACATGAATTCTCCATTCTCTGGTTGACCATCAGATCGAAGAGCTCAAGACTGTGGTCGATGTACAAAAGGACCAACTCTGCAAGAAGACCGACAGGATAGACACGCTCGAGAGAGAACTGGAAGTCAGGCAGATCGTCCTCGCCGAGAAGGTATAATTTAGAGCCTCCTTTCAGATATGGGGCCACTTGATTACCTAAGCGTTTTGCTTGAGAGAAATTTGAGGTCTGGAACACAGGCCTGATAATTACCAGATTTTTTTTGCTACTCGATTTTACCCCTATTTTCCCAATTTTCTTACTCAAAAGAGGGGAATGTTGTTAAATGCCATGATTTTTTTTAAAGAAACCTTTTTTTTTTTTTTTTTTTTTTTACTCAAGGGAGGGGGAGGGGGGAGGGCGGGTTGAGGAAAAAATTGAAACCTTTTTTTTTAGTCCTCACTATCACCCCTGGGAACAGTTCCATTCGAATTTTCATTCTGTTGTGGAATCATGTCACAGTTATGATAACACATGAAAAGGAATGCTGTTCAAATGCTTTCGGTTTTCCATATGACTATGTTGGGGAATCTCGTGTACTCGTATCTCTGTCCAGTGCTCTAAAAAATCATTGTTTGTTATTATTTTTACTAAGATTTGTGAATTTGTTATTCTTGTATGTATGTCATGAAGTGCATACAATTTGATCTTTCATATTTGATGAAAAGGGTTTACATGATTTGTCTAAGGATTTGTGCTCTCTTTTCTCAGGTTGGAGAATTAACGACTGTAATTGAGAACCAGCAAGCAGAGATCAAGAAACAGGCAGAGGGTCTGGAACTGAAGACTAAACAGATGCAAGAGAGCACCTCACTGGTAATGAACACATTGTTGTCTTTCTGGAATTAGATTGTTATATTGAAAGGTAATCTAGAGGTTTGATGAAGACTAATTACATCTCAAAGAATAAATGGTATCTGCCAAATGATTTGAATGTGCAATAGCTGAGTAATGAGCAAATAAAGTAGAGGAAATTTAAGTTGGATGGCCATGACAACTTGGCATCGTTCTCATGACAGTAAGATTTAATTACTACAACTTGATAATGTTCTCATGGCAGTAAGACATACATGCCAACTGTTCAGATTAAAGAGGAACATTCCTCTTTTTGGGAGAAGATAATTATCATTTTAATGCAGGTGTTCCTCTTCCTGTACAAATTTGTCTGTAGTATTGAATAGGAGAGTTAGGATTGTTCCTCTTTTTTTTTTAAATAGCATAATTTGTACAGATTTCTGATTTTCAAATGTTGGCATGTATGGTAAGATTTAATTACTGGCGCTTAAGATTGGTTTTAATCTAAGGCCTAAAATAAAAACTTGTTGTATTGCCCTTTGTGACCGACCCAAAAATCTGAAAATCTACGGTCGACATTTTAAAAAAGTTTTTTTTTTTTAAACCGTTTTTAAATTTTTTTTTTTTATTAATGAATAAAAAAAAAAAATGTAATTTGTTTGTTTAAATGGGATATAAATGCATAAAATCAAACTATTCCAAAATTCTCACTCGTGCAGACCATGGATAATTATGAGGTGAAAAAGATATCAATGGAATGATGACGTTGAAACACATGTATTAAAATATATCGGCCCAAAGAGGGCGACAAACAAAAAAAATTCAAAAAAAAAAAAAATTCTGACCGACCCATGTTATCAACGAATATTATTATTTTTAATTGTTATGCTTTATAATAACATCTCTCTCTCTCTGTTTCCCTCTCCCTCCCTCTCTCTCCCTCTCTCTCTCTCTCTCGTCTCTCTATTTGCTCTATCTCTCTCATCCTCTCTCTGTCTCTCTGTCTCTCCCTCCCTCCCTCTTCCCTCTCACACTCTCTGTCTCTCTATTTACTCCGTCTTCTCTCTCTCCCTCATTCCCTTACTTCCTCTCTCTCTCTGTATTCGTCTTCAACCTGCAGCAACACAAAGATCTGGAGGAGCATGATACTCTAGTGTCTGATCTAGAAGAGCGTATAGAGGTCTTAGCAGGAGCAGAGAAACAGCTTGCAGATGCCAAGAAAGAGATGGACGTAAGTCAAATTTAATGATAATTGCATTGTGAAAGAAACGTTGTGGAATTGATCAGAAAAGGTTGATCATCTAGCATATAAGTATTGGTGTGTACGGTGAGGTTCTGGAGTCATCAAAATGATCAGAAATTTGGCACTGCACACAGAAAGATGCATATGGGACTACACATGCCATATTTAAAATATTGACGCATTTGAAGAGCCATGCTTTCCAGGGAAATTTTTTGTCTGATGTTCTTCCACACTTGCACAATACAATGATAACGGTCACAAAGTATTTTTCACTTCTTCCCAGAACTCAACCTTCTCTTTAAAACCTTGCTGATTTGCCAGATTCTGAGATAACAAAGATGATTTAACATTTTCTCTGTTGAAAGATTCCATCACATTGTGTTTGTATTGGATCCTAGGAGCAAGAGATTCAGATAGCTGACCTGTACAAGCAGCTTGAAGAGAGGGAGGCCAAGGTCAAGGAGACCGGGGAGACCATGGCCGCCGAGCTCTGCGCCGAGATCAAGATGCACGAGGAGGCCCAGAAAGAAATGAGGAATTCCATCCTCAAGAAGACACAGAATGAAACGGAAGCAAAGAAACTGATCGAGGTGCGTGGACTTTTGTTGTTGGTTTATTGGAGGAAACGAGGGGAATTCCTTCGGAATTATCCTGCAGTTTTGTTTTTCTGTTGAACTGTGACAAAAATTGATACTAATGGATATTTTGATAGTGCTCGTATCCACCAATGCAAGGTACTTAGGTGCTCCAATGTTACCCCAGCTCTAGCCTGCTCACAGTATTCAAGCGATTCCTACTGATACACATTTTTTTAACACCCAGGTAGAGAGGTGCAAATGTAAATGCCTTGCATCCCAAATACATCACCTCTGTTGTTTAGACATTGTGTTAATCCACAACAAGAATTCAACTTCCTAAGATGATACAAGGCACTGATCGCAAAACACTAATCTCATGTGACATACTTAAGAATATAGATTCTTGTCTACAGCACACATCTTGCTGTTCAGATCACATGTCCAGCCCTAGCCTCGATCATCAGCCTGTCTGCACTTGACAGTTTTACCTTTCTTTAAAGGCATCGTTTAACAAGGTTAAATCTAAGATGCATGGCCCTACATGTTATCAGTGTCTGTGATATGGTGTAACATTGAAGCCCTAACAGAATTGCGCTTCAAAATGATCATGATGTGCCTCAAAAAGTAAAAAATCTTTGAGTGACTGGTTTTACCATCCTCATTTTCCCCAATAGACTGTAGTGTTATAAAAACCATTTGGAAAACAAAAAATGAAATTTGGATTTCCAATCATAAATATCTTGATAATCAGACAGCCGATTGGCTTGTAAAAGTGACTGACCTTAAGGTTTATAATTACGATTGCAGCATGAGCTAAATCCAGGATTTTGTTTCAGAATCTGGGGCAATGTTACAGAGTCGCTTTAATGTGCTTTACTGAAATACCTTTCCATATACATGCCTGGTACAAGAACAAGAACAAGAACAACATTGATGCAAGCTTATACTGTAAGAAAGTTGCTGGTATAATAAATGCTTCATACAAACATCATGACAGTGATTAATATTGTTTCCATTGCTATGTTTGTTTCCCTGTGTTGTAGGACCAAGAGGCCTCCAATGAAGAACTGAAAGCTATTGTTGAGACCAAAGAGAGACAGATTGAGGAACTGGAAGAAACACTCAGCTCTAGAGATGAAGAGATCAAAGAAATGGTAAGAAACAGTTAGTAGAACAAGATTAGCTACAGTCCTAACATAACTGATTTAGTTCAGTTATTGAAAAGCCATAGGAAACTTTGTCAACAACTGCTATGTACAACTCTTTTTTTATTATAAATATAAATGATTAGGAAGTCTATTTTGAAGTTCATAACTGATATAGTGTATGTGAACATTGAAACAAATTGAACTGAATTGATTTTTCATGGTAAAAATTCACATCCAACCTCATAGCCATCAACTTTATATTTGTTCTAGCCTTCAAACTGGTTGTGTTAACAAAACAAAAATCAAAGATGTGTCATGATGTATCATGCTCCTCTAGATCTTTGTGTTGCTGCAAGATGTTCACTTCCTTTTTACTACAAGCCTCAAGAGTTTTACATCATCGTATTATGTTGCTCACAAATAGGATGAACGTAGGAAGATGTATCAGTTATCATAAATCAAAGACAATGATCATACATAGTTTCATTCAGTAATGTTTATTTGTTGTTGTTGTTTTGTTTTTTTACAAATAGGAGGCAAAACTAGAAACATCTTCCCGGAAAGCATCAGTAGAGGAGTCCGAGACACAAACTGAGGTAAAACATTTGAATTGCATGTTCAGCAAAACTTTTAGGTAAAACCACTAAAAAAAAACAACACAAGTAGTCTTTACATGCAGGTGTCTAAAAAAATGCTTTAAAAAAAATAATTGTGATTGTTTTAGATAGATGCTCTTTCCATTCAAGTGGACATTAAAACAGGTTTGACTGTATTATTTCAATCTTTCTTAGAATATTTTGTTTGAGACCAATTTCTGCAGAGACAGATTTATTAAAAACTGCAAAAAACAGTGAAAGTTGGAAAATAAAACATGATAAAATAATGAAGTAATATCTTAAATTTGTATCCACAAGAAATCTTCATGGTCTTAGGAGAGTGCTGATTAGAAGCAGTTAAGCAAGAAGCTGTGACTTTTTAGAAAATTCCAAATAAAATCATTTTAAAGCCCGTCTACACTAGTTTGGCCAGGAGGGATTGGACCACCCTGCTGGTCACTGACAGGTGGTTTTCTCATTAACTCAACTCTCAAATAACATAAGAAAAAGGATCATGTGGGACCAACAGGCACCACTTAGGCATTGTTTTCTATATAGAGGGAGCAAGTAGTACAGTGGGGCTTTAATTTAAAATATCGCAAAATCTCTCTCTTTTTAGATGGAGTATTCCTCTGAGAACTTCACCTCCTCCTCCTCCTCCGAGGAGAGCGCTGGTCAGGAGCTATCCCGCAAGAAGATGTCGGGTATGCCTTCCACCACCTCTCTGGCATCCACCATCTCCACCACCAGCACTGAGGAGGATGATGATGATAGTATCATTATCATCGAGCCGGAGGATCAAGCTGGATACAAGGCTGGTCGCCTCTCAAGGTATGGATCATACATAGAGCTCTGTATCATCATCAGTCAGTCAGTGAATAGACCAGTTCACGGTTAGCACATGGCTGCAATGACCCCAAATATCCACAGATCTTCAAAACATGAAGAGGTCCCACTTTGTACATTTTGAAATAATCAGTCCTACAGCGATGGAGATGCTACATACTTAGCCTTTGTTTCCCCTTTTCAGAGAATACTTCCACCTGTGTATCATAGAGTGCTCTGCTTGTACATAAATGAATAATGATTACATAACTTTCATGAGCACGTATCCAGTATTCCATCTCCGTGTATTTCACAATTTGTTCTGCAATGACCTTTATCTGCTCATGCTCAGACTGCAACCGTGAACTGGCTTATTAAAGGGAGTGTAGCATGGCAAATACTGGTTCACGCCATCTGCGACTTCTTTTGGACAACTGCATGTAAACGGATGAACTTGATTAACGGTAGTCAGCAACTTAATCCCTACATTGTCAGCTAGCATTCGCGAAACAGACTGAAGTCCTCCTCACGCTTCGGTTTTGTGTATGTTGCACGCACATGATTGCTGCGGTTGTGTCGTCCTTAGTCGTATTATACCCGATTGGCCCCAAGTCAGGCCACGGGAAAGACACGTAGTCTCATCATGCTACACCCCCTTTAATCATTCAATCCATCAATCAATACATCAGTCACTCAAGCAGTCAATCATTCTCGGCTATGCTGGATAAAAATTAGGGAAATCTCAGAAATAATTCCATTCTTTTCCAGTCAGGGAGAAGTAAAGGAATTTATTATCCCCCAAATAACATAGCCAGTCTCTCTTATTTTGTGTCCATGAGAAGATGTTTTGAAGACATTTCAAACTGAAAATAGGTGGAAATTATGATCATTGAAACTCCATCAGGAAAAACTCATGGAAAATCTGGGAATCCTGATTTATTAAATCAACATATTTCAATTCACCATATATATATTTGTGTTAACTCTTGTTTAGAGCATGGAGTAAACCATTTTTCTGGCAAGCTCCAGATTTGAATGCAATGCTAATTCTCTCTGCATCTTTTTCAGAGTGGAGATAGATGCTACTCCTCTTCAGAAGAAGAACTCGCGCAAGGGACGGGCCGCCAAGATCACAAAGACATCACTGAGGTCGTCCAGGAAGAGGGGAGGAGGAGGAGACGATGTAAGTAGTCCAGCTCTTATAACAATTCATTTTCTAGGACTCTAGCAGAGGTGCCAGCCAGTACGATGTAATCGTATTTAGTACGATAATACGATATTACCTCTCAAAATACGATTTTCCAAACAAAAAAAGAAGAAAGAAAACATGATTTTTTTATTTTTTTTAAATATTTTTTTAATACCGGTACCCATAAAAACCACGGAATCGCATTAAAACATGAACAAGTAAACCCCCGCAGCCCCAACAAAAACTTTGCTTTTCAATGTTCTTTTAAAATTTTAATGAAAGAGCAAAAATTTTACTTGACTGTATACGTACCAGTATCACATTTTTCTGAAATTTTACAGGGGCTAACCGCCATTGGTAGTGTCGAGTTTTCGTGAAAATCTGATTTTTTAGGATACTCAGTCTGTCTTTTTGTGTCAAGAGGTTGGCATCTCTGCTCTAGGTACAGATAACATAATGATACAAAGAAAATAACTGTTTTTCTATGTACTGCCTCACCATTTACAAATAATTGACCAAAACACATACGTTACATTATACACCTGATCATTCAGACTAATGACCATTTTGCAATTTGCACTCCACACTCTCCACTTCACTTGGAAGCATTCCAGCCAGCTAGTCCCTTTTCTTTTAAAATTTTAATGAAAGAGCAAAAATTTTACTTGACTGTATACGTACCAGTATCACATTTTTCTGAAATTTTACAGGGGCTAACCGCCATTGGTAGTGTCGAGTTTTCGTGAAAATCTGATTTTTTAGGATACTCAGTCTGTCTTTTTGTGTCAAGAGGTTGGCATCTCTGCTCTAGGTACAGATAACATAATGATACAAAGAAAATAACTGTTTTTCTATGTACTGCCTCACCATTTACAAATAATTGACCAAAACACATACGTTACATTATACACCTGATCATTCAGACTAATGACCATTTTGCAATTTGCACTCCACACTCTCCACTTCACTTGGAAGCATTCCAGCCAGCTAGTCCCCATTTTTAAAGGGATTGGGTAACTTTGTCTCAGATTCTGAAACAAAATCCTGGATTTAGCTCATGCTGTGATGACAATTATAAACCTTTAGGTCAGTCAGGACCCCCATGACTTTTACAAACCGATCGCCTGTCTGATTATCAAGATATTTATGATTGGAAATCAAAATTCAAAAATCGTTTTCCTAATGGTTTTTATAACACTACAGTTTATAGGGGAAAATAAGTATGGTAAAACAGGTCACTCAAAGATTTTTACTTTTGAGGCATTTCATGATCATTTTGAAGCGCAAGTTTTTTGTTGTTTTAATATTACACCATATCACAGACACTCATAACACGTAGGGTCATGCATCTCAGATTTTACATTGTTAAACGATGCCTTTAAAGGCGCATACTTTGCTCATTAGATAAAAATGATGCTCACGTCCTTCCATGTACCCATTTTAACACCTGGGTGGAGAGAAGCCATGTACGTGGGGGCGTACTTGTAGATGAAGGTAGGGAGTAATTCCTGCAGCCCCTTATCAGGGCAACCGAGCTCTCGCCGGGTAAAGATTCCAAAGTCGTGTAGAAGTGCATATGGACGTCTTATGATGATGATGATGATGATGGTGTTGTCGCCATCGTTGTCATCATAATCATGACCATTTGTTTAATTATTGCTCAGGACCAGGAAGAGAGTTCCAAGAAACTGAGAGGAGACGATGGAGTTGGGGTCAAGCCAAAGGGTCGTGCACGTCGTGCCACACGGGCATCCAGTAAGACCAGTCTCAATGAGGTAAGGGAACGTTTGACTAGAACTGTACATGTGTGTGGAAAATAGGTTGTGAACAGAGCTTTATTTCTGCTGGTCAATGTTTAGTTTGTTTTGAATTGGCTGCAACACTTCAACAAAGTGAGATCTGTAATAGCCCCTCGGATCACACAATAATAGTTTGTTGTGTTTGTCTCTCATTCCATTGCCTGCTGTTCTTAATTTGTTTCCCCTTCTTGTTTTTAGTGGGGGGTGTGTGTATCCCTCTGTTTCCTTTGTATATATACTCTCTCTCTCTCTGTTTCTTTGATGTACTCTCTTTCTTTTCTCTCTCTCTCTCTCTCTCTTTCTTTTTCCCTCTTATTTTTCTCTCTTTCATTTCTCTCTCTCTTTCTTTTCTCTCTCTCTCTCTCTCTCCCTTTCTCTCTGTCTCTCGGAATTCCTATCCCTTTACCCTTCCACACTCTCAAAGACATCTATGTATCATGGTTTACCTCTCTATCATTCAATTGATTGTCTCCATCTTTGTCTCTCTCTCTTGTCCTGCAGGAGATAGAGAACCAACCGGAGGATGGGACATCCCCTTCCGCGACTTCGCTCTCAGGTAGCAGTCAGAGGAGAGGCCCTCTGGCCAGGATCAACGAATACCTTCAGAACTCTCCCATTGGAAAATCTGGTGAGTTCATATCATGGGATCGTAGGACATATCGAGGGGTCAGTGACACAAAGACGTAACTCCATATTTTGCCAAAATGAGTATTTGATATCAAAATGTTCAGAAAATGTGCAGGAAACACAAAGACTTAACTCCACCCAACATCCCATTGAAGTCGCTAGTGAAACATAGACTTAATTACTTAAGGCCCAAGTGCTCAGTGACACATGAACCACTTTTTCTTGAAAGGGTCAAACTGGAGTTACGTCTTTGTGTCAGTGACCCCTCGATATGACGTTGGCTGTTTGCTAGAAGGTTGTAAGAGATATGTCTTGTTGATGGCAGTAAGGGCCTTTTGGCAGGCATCCAACCATTATTAATCTCAGAGATGTTGATGCAGCCTGTCATTGTGTATCTTTGTTTCATGGTACTGTACTGTATTCATGATCATTTAGCTGATAGATAAGCCTTATTCTCTCTTGATGCAGTAAAAAAAAATTGCAGCAGCAAGATAACCATGTACATGACTCGCTAAGGGAGGGGGGGATCCCATCCATGACCTCACTGTCGGGTAGCAGTGACAGATGATGCCCAATGGCTAGGCTCGACGAATATCTACATAACCCTTCCTTCGTCTGTCTGGTGACTTTTAATCTTGGAGGTGTTTTAAGGGTGACCCCACATTTGCTCTCACAACAGTTGATCCAGGCTTTTTTCGCCAAAGGTAAAGGGTTAGGTTAGGTTACAGGAGCAAGTGTCTTACAACTGTTTAGATGGATGATGATCGGGATACAGTCTTCTATTTTCTTCTTTGTACAGTGCGCTAAATTCAAAATGACTCATTAGAAAGATAACCCTCATTCACAGATGGCGCAGTGAAATGCCTTTAAAAATGCCGTGTCAAAAATAAGAATCATTTCAAGTCTAAATGTGAATGGCAAGTGAGATAGAAAACATGAATGGTTTGCAGGCAAGTGCTTATAATTTCGATTATATGCTGTATATCCTGTGAAACACTCAATGTATCATACAAATTGTGCTGCACGTGGCCTTCTAGTACAATACCTGCTCTATCCTCATAACCATATTACAAAATTAATTACTCACCCCCTTCCTGTCTCCTTCAATCCTCTTGTAGACATATGGAGTCTTTCAAGTTTTTCAACAACAAAATAATTGTTCTAAAAAAAAAAAAACTTATCTATGAATGCTACAATATGCTTCATAATCATACTTATTGTGCAAGAAGCATTGTTGAAATTGATTTTATTTCCCTGTTGTTTGTTTTAAAGCCGATTGTCACGTGCCCTGTTTAATTGTGGTTAAGATTAGACGCATGAATTATAATAATATGAACTCTCTCTTCGTCTTATTTTGTGGAAGCCCCTATCATGTCTCATATTTTCCTGAGATTGTAAATCTTTGTTATCATGCACCAACTATACTAAAATTAAACAATCAAAAAAAGAAATCGTACAATCCAGTTATTGCCATCAATCATGTTTCCAGTTAGTTGTCCAATCAAAACTAATAGGGACTTTTAGATTTGCACGAAGACAATGGGGATTGCTACGATCGACGCCCTTTTAATGCACTGCCTTGAATGGACGTCACACAGTCCACGCAAATCTAAAAGTCCCTAATGAAGCACCTTCAAAGAGAACAAAGAAATGAAGCTATTTGTACCATTTTCATGACTTTATCATTACGTCCAAGACTTTCTTGTTCATCAAGTTTTCAAACACTGATTAATTTCATTTCATTGAGGTTGTCATAATAGATGTATAGTACCCCTGTTGGGATCCTTAACATTCTAATACGTGTATGTACATGTATAACATTTATACTCATACTATAGTGTCATTGTACAATTCTCAATATGACTCTAATTTGTAACCATGCATTTCTAATTCTACATGTAAGAAAGTCCTGCGATACATTTACCTTGCCTTTCTGTATCTGAAAATAGAGACCCTGTTAAAGCTTAAAGGTAAAGACCACTTTTGGAAATGCCCCCCCTCTCAAAAAATGAAATGGAAGCTCTTATTACCAATCATGTGAAAGGATATGTTTCGACTAATACGTGATCACTCAAATTTTGCCGAGAAACTGCCTACTAATTGATATATTTGGTAAATTATTATATCTATTTGGACCTGAAAGAAATAATGCATGTGTGCGTAGTCCCATATACATCTTTCTGTGTACAGTGCTTGTAACGTTACCAAGACTGGGCCAAATTTCTTATCATTTTGATGACTCCAGAACCTTGCAGTTCACACCAATACTTATATGATCAACCTTTTCTTATCGATTCCACAACGTTTCTTTCACAATGCAACCGCATGACCATAACTGGTCTTTATCTTTAATGGAATAAATGAATGATTAGTATGTGCTCACTGTCATATTCTTTCTTTGTCTCGCTTCTTCCCTTTTACTGCTCCCCTCTCTATATATATAGTGTATGATACTGGTGAGTACTTGTTCATTGTAGCACTGAGTCAAAGAAATATACTGACTTGGATATGTCTCTCTGCAACAATAAATACTGCAATTTCCATTTATTTATCCTGCCTGATCTTTATGTATAATAGCTGTGTTGTAGCGTTTTCTTCTCTGCATGCTTTTGCTTTGGAAAGGCTACGGTTTCTTATCTCCTTCCCCTTCCCATCTCCTTCCCACCCCAACAACTAATTGTGAATTTCTATTTCTCTCTAGTTCTCTCCCCTTTTACTTTACCACTCTTTTTCAATCTATCTATGAACATGTTTGTTTTAGTTTTTATCTCTCCTTTTCAGGCCTGATAAAAACCCGACTTAAATCGGTTTCCCGATTTTTTTTTTATTTTTCCCGATTTTATTTTATTTTATTATTATTTTTTTTTACCATTTTTTTTCCTTCCCTATTTTATTCTGATTTTCCTGATTCCCCCCTTTTTTTCTCTATTCTTCCCCATTTTGCACTATTTTTTCTCCAATTTTCTTACTCGAAAGGGGGAATGTTGTTAGATGCCATTTTTTCCCAGCGAATCTGCTTCTTTTTTTTTCTCAAGGGGGACGTGGTTCAGGGGAAAACAAAAACCCTATTTTTTTTTTAGTGCTCACTATCACCCCTGCCTTTTGTAGCTCCTCACTTTCTCTCTCTCTCTCTCTCTCTTTCTCTCTCTCTCTCTCAATGATCTTGATCTTGAGTTGTGCGTTGAACCACTTCTTGCTATATATCTACATGTAGAAAGCATATATCTGGCTTCCTTTAGTGCAGTATAGTACTGTTCATAATTATGGTCATATATATTGTATTCCTAATATCTTCGTTCAGTATTTTTATCTGGCCATTATAAATATAATTCTTGAATCATTAGTAGAACTTATGAACAAAAGCATTCCATAATTTACTTTGTGACAAACATTCCTTGCTTTCAAAATACATGTGCACAGAGCTCATAAAATGTATTTTTGCTAAATGTACAATACATTACTGTGTATGTAAGTATGTGCCACATAGATACATGTTTAAAGTTTTCAATGTGTGACGTGTTTACGATCTAGCAGGTTTGCTAATAGTGTGCTGTGTTTTTCTTTTTTCTTCCCTTGCATGATGGCTCATCATTTTTGATTCAAATCATTTTGTTTGCATTGTTGATTTTATCTTCTTTTTTACCTTGCAATTTGCTCTTAATGTTGCTTGATAATTTGCAAATGTATCAATGGCCATTTGTTATTTTTTCTTTCACCTAAATATACTAACTCTTCGTTGGGGTAAAAAATATGGATTTAATCTTTTTCTTCTTCTTGTTTGGTAACTTTTTTTCTTCTAAATACTTCTCTAATATATTGCAACTTTTCATTTCATTATATTTAATGATTTTTATTTGCCTTCTTCTGCGCCATTGTATGATTATTTAAATATTCCTTTTTTTTTTGTTCAATGCTACACTGTACCTAACTTCCTTCCATGTGTGAAATCTCTCATTAACATCTCCTTTGGTTTTTGCTTTTGTATATTATTTTGCTGAATCCTTTTTGTTTGGCATCCATATGACTCTTCATATTTCGGGGGAACAACATTAATTAATCGCAATTCATGATGGCGAAACCCTTTTGCATCCATTCTCACCTTTCTCACCATTTCCTCATTGATGAAATCCACCCCTGCCCTTGCTCCATCTCCCACGCTTATTTAAACATCCACCATTCATAATCCGTTGCCATAACAACATCATAGCCCCATCATCATCATTAGCATGCACATCCACGGGTGCGGCCATTGGTGCTGCATCCCCCTCCGCAGAGGTGACCCCATCCTCGCCCCCGTCCCATACCAACCTCATGGTCAAATCATTAGCATGCACAGTCAACCTCACTCCGTCCGTTATCCTTCCAGCCAAACGCCTGGTAGACACGGCCACGGCTGCTGCCTCCCCCTCCTCCGCTGAGGTGGTGAAGCCCCCGTCCCCCTCCCCGCCCAAGGCCGTCGAGATGGCCACCTTCGTCCCCTCCATGGTGCCGGAGAGACAGAAGAGGAAGAGGAAGCTCTACAAGACCGATATTTCTGCACCGTTTGAGGCCTCCCCTCATGAGGTAAGATTCAATTCTTCTTTTTAGATCCATCTATTTTCTCCCTCTCTCTCTCTTCTTTTATATTGATTATTATGTAATTTACAATGTGCTTGTCCACTTAAAGCCCCACGGCACTACATATAACAACTTGTGCCCTCTAAATAACAAACAATGCCTAATCGGTGCCTGTTGGTCCCCCATGATCTCCTTTTTCTTATGTTAATTGAGAGCTGAGTTGATGAGATAACAACCTGTCAGTGATCTTGCAGGGAGGTCTAATCCCCCTGGCCAAACTAGTGCAGACGGGCTTTAATACTGTTTGGTGCACATTTTGAAGTTACATTGAAAACTTCTAATATATTTAGGTAGAGTCAGAATACATTTATATCAAGGATAGCCCTATTTCCTTTGCTTTTTCCCTTCTCTTCTCTCCTCTTTTCTTCACTTCTCTTTCTTTCTACCTGTCTTTCTCCCTCCCCTGCCTTCTCTCCCAAATCTCTCTCTCTGTCCCATTCTCTATAATGTACCTATGACGTCACACCTACTAACTCTTAAAATATTAAATAGTAGTATAAAAATGTCAAATATTGCGAGATCTTCCTAATAGGTGTGATACAGGGAATGTCTTTAATAACATGACCCTCTCAATAATCAGTATTTGGTTCCCCTTCCACCCCCTTCTTTTGGATGTAAGACCATTTATCTCTCTCTCTCTCTCTCTCTTTGCATATAAAAGTTATACATGTACGCAATGCCTGATAATGTTCTCTCTTTCATTACTAAAATATCTACGCTTACAGATGATAAGCCGACAATATGTAGGCGAAGCCAAATCTACGGAGGGCGCCGTTACAGTTATCACACGAAAGCTGCGCTCTCGAGCCAAGAAATACTGAAGAGTTTCCTGCCACGTAGCCGTGAAAAAAGCATTGAAACTAAATCCTGAATGTGGAGAGGCCAACATTTTTGTGATCTATGGAGTATGGAATGCTCTTTATTTCAAGAATATGCATGATGCAATGGGGTTACAGTTAGATGTGACTTTGCTAAAACAAATACATATGTCCTGAAAAAGAAATTCATCCTTCTTATTTTCTTAATTTTCATCTAGTTATCAAACCTTTTGCATTTATCTTACGGTACTGTACAAGATGAATGTGTCATTTTGTACATTGCATTTTACGGCTGTACAGGAATGTAAACTGGAATGTTGCGAGGTTCCAAATATCGCCTTAAAATTATATTTTTCTTTAATTATTGTTATTTCATGTACCGTAGGAAGTATTTTTCAGCATATAATTATGGTTTTGCTTTTGTTTAACTTAGTCTGAATGAATATTGCCCATGTGACTCTCAATACATATTGGATTTGATTCTCTTGTAAGTGCTGTTATATCATGTCATCAGTGTGGGATCAATTCAAATTCAAGAAAGGGGAGAAGAGAAGATTTTTTTTTTTTCAGGAAGAAATTTCATTTGCAACCAAAACTTTTTTCCAAATTCAGTTTTACTCTGTAAACAAAAATAGTGCCATTTAATTCATAGTTATTTCTGAACCGAAAAATATATGTTGAGTTGGGATCAAAACATGCTTGTGGCATGAATGTTAAAACTATACATGTATTTTGTAAAAGTAGATGAAGACACTCTAAGATTGTCAAAAAAATACAATCACATTATTTTATTTGTGCCACATTATGCATTTTACAACTAGATGTGGTATATCTTCATATGCCAGATAAATGGATATTAACAGAGGGAATATTCAGTCCTTTAGAGTATTAGGAACTCTCCCTGCTAATGCTTTGCTGCAAGGCACTCAGCAATATCCAATGAAGCCCAGGAAATGTGTACCTTTAACTGTATATGATGTGTAAATAGAAAAATATAGAGTAATGATCTTGTTATATGACAAATGTAAACATGAATAAGGCAGATCATGGTACTTTCTGCATCAAATTTGAAGTAAATAATGAGAAAGAGAATGTGTAAAACATGACTTCTAGGTATGAAATTAGTAATTCTTTTTTTTACATAGAATTAGGCAGATATGGACCAAAATATGAGAAAGAAAATGTTTTTCTTCCAATGAATGGCCTTCAAAGCAATATTGATGTACATCAGCAATTTGCATAGTGTATAGAACACATCTAACTGTGTTGAAACTGATGAGCAAAATTTGATGATACACTGTACAGAATGTACAGCGGGATAAAGAAGTTATCATATATGTGTACTTGTATTCATATGGCATGTATTTGTCAACACATCACATTTTGTAAATGAATAATGCATGGGTATAAAATTATAAAATGCATTTAGTACTAGTGTAAAACAGAAATTTGCCTTGTCTTTGGGCAGTGTGGGTTCATTTTCTAAAAAAAAGAAAAGTCATAATGCTATTTTGTATACTTGTACTATTAAGTGTGAATCTATTGTTAAAATGCATAACAGACTTCTATTTATAGGATTGCAAGATTGCAAGTAAACTTTGTAGGCAATATGATATTGTTGTATGAAGAAACTTCCAATAAAAGCAACATGAGTTTGCTTATCTTGCTATAAACATTTGTCTTCAGAACTTTTTTGATTCATTTGCCTTAGATACAGTATATTACTTGTAGTTTTCATCAATTTCCAAGCTCTCACTAATTTACATGAAATTTCATGTTTTGTAAATGAAAATGTTCTTTGAAATAGGTTCCTTGGTCCCCGTTTAAGATATCCTAATGTGCGCCTATGAAAGTTGCGTTGCATTGAGAATATACCTTGTAGATATTCAATTCAATTTTTCAATTTCAATTTATTTTCCATCTTTAAAAAGAAGAACAAAATATATAACATAGTATTGACACATTGTATTAAAATAATAATATAAACATAAACATGGAGGGATACCCTTACTAAGCAGGTTGCTTGTAGGCAGGGCCCCGGTATACAATATAAAATTTACAACTTTGTTAGAGAAATATCTAAACATTTGAGAAAATTATAAGACAGCAAAATTAAATATAAATCAGGAAATTGTGATCATCTTAACAGCTGCTATGAATAGACAGATACAGGCACACATCCACACACTGACACACAAACACCCTAGCATACACACACACATGGTATGGTCTGTTGAGAGCAAGAAAGCTGTAAATTTCATGTGTTGCAGCACTTTACATTGAGTTAATGCCTTTCTGCTCTAATCAGACGGTGTTGTGAGTTTGTGCATACAAATTTGAACAGATTGTAGAAGTGGCACGAGTTGATGTTGTCAATTTAAATTATTGTCTCTTAAAGGTACTATGTCCCATTTGCAGGCCAAAAAAATGAAAAATTTAAATTCCAACTGCATTTGAAAGATAATACTAATTTAGAACTTCCCTAAAAAAGGTAGGGCTTGAAAATGTCTTCAAGTGGGAAAATAACGACTATTAGTTGTCAAATCGACTTTAGGGCTATAGAGCCCAAAAGTAATAGTCTTGATTTTCAGACAATTGTACCGAATGGTCATACGTTTTATGCTGCGCAAAGATTCAATCAGTTTAATCTTGGCCATCACAAGAAGTGGGTTATTAATGTAGACAAATGCTCATGTACCCTTTACAACTCTTTTCATGTATGTTATTACCAAAGAAGAAAAAAAGCCAGTCAGTCACTCAATAGTGTCTGACAGTGAAGTCTAGCAAGTAAACGGGTTTCCTTGCATAATTTGAATATGAGGACACTGCTAACGTTTAAATTTCACAGATAGGACATACATGACACATTCATAATTCCTGCAAAGTTCTACAGAATTTGAGGTTGGCTGCAAAAGGGACATAGTACCTTTAAACAGCAATCCAAACTGTGTAATGAGTTAGTTTGTGTGAGAGCAGAAAATGAGAGAAACAGAATGGCAAAAGTTTGAAATACATTGATTGGACCATTAAAGGGAGTTATGAATGTTTGAAAAATGAGAGAACTAAATCTACCAGGTTTGTGAATCTGAAACTGGCATTTTGGTCAATGGATTGTGACAAGTAGTCGTGTACAACGCTTTTGTTTCTTGTTTACAAAAAAATGATTAATTTCTGTTTTTCTCCTTAGTCCCATTTCCCTTGGGTTTACCACTCTAAATTTACTAAGGATCGCATTATCTTCATCACCTTGAAGCGGCACTTAACTGGAAGAAGAAGAAGAAGAATATGATAAGTGCTCTTGAGAGAAAAGACCCTCCTGACTCAAACATTTTGAAACATTTACATTTTAGCCATTTTGTGAGTTGAAATAAATGGGACAGTTATTCGGCACTGCCTCACAGGAACATTTAAGATTCAGTCAATTTGAAGAGCCCATATTGCCTTCAGCGAATACAAATTTTTAAAATTGATAACTTTCCTATGTTTTGTCAGATTTTAATTCAACTTTTACCAGTCTGATTTTTGTCTATTGAGGTTGAATTTTCCTTTAAGTGGGAATGTCGTGGTCGAGTGGTTTAAGGCGCTCGACTGTAGATGCGAAGGTCGAGGGTTCGAATCCCGACACGGCACTAATATCCTTTGGCAAGATATTTACCTGCACTTGCTACTCTCCACCCAGGTGTTAAATGGGTACCCGGTAGGATGTGAACGTTCATGTGGTTAGTCGAGCAAGTGTGCGCTTGTAAAATGGCGACTGGCTGGAATGCTCCCCGGGAGTGGTAAATGTGCACACATTGCGTGCGGGTAAGCCTGAATCCGATGACCGGGGTAATAATATATCTGTAAAGCGCTTAGGCACATCGTTGGATCGGTGTATAGAGCGCTATATAAAAACACGGATTATTATTATTATTATTATTATAAATACTTTTTTCTTTTTATTACATTAGAATAAGGCAAGATTCAAATCAAATTCTTGTGTGATTCAACATTCTCAATGACAATTACTCTGTGGCCAATATCCCACACCTATGTAACCATATGTCAGAAACCTTGCCCTAACCCTGTACCTTTTGACAAAATAAAAAGTTTTTCTCCTGCCATAGAGGATCAATGGATTAGAGGATCAATTGAAGTACAAAATAATGGATCATAACTAACACTACTAGTACTGTTAGGGATTGAAGTTCATTCAATTCATTCCACACTGGACAGCTTTCAACAAAGCTTTTTGGGGTGGAACAAATTCATGATCCAAGATTGAGATGTTTGGCCCATACTTTTTTTAAACCAACACATACATAATCAATAAAACAAAATGCACAGCAGTTCTGAAGAATTCCTATGCAAATACTGCATAGTTTTTATTTACTTTCATAATCAAACGACATGATATATAAATAGTACATCGGTTCCAGTTGGAGTATAAAAAAATTGTCCCTACCATAATTTCAATATCTGATATTTCTCCCACACACAATAAGTAACAGATGCTTTACAAGAAATAGAGGGGTTTTGATACAATTAAGCATAAATGCCAGTTTTGGAGTATTCAAATATCAAAGCCAAGATTGTCAATATAGAGACCCACTGCAAAAGCATACTCTATTAATTAAAGCGATACTGTACTAGAAGTGCATGTACCACCGCAAAATCCCCTCCAGCACCATCTAAGGTCATCTATAGCAGTATAGTCCCGTAACTCTCTACTTCTCTAGCTGCGCTGTTGGTTCTCGCATCGACTTCTCTGTCTGCAAAGTGGAAATTAGGTATCGAGTTACGTGCTGTTGGAGAGTTGACCATGAGATGGCGCTGTGCAATAAACAGTACGCTTGGGCAGAAAGTTCATTGGTTCAGTATCGCTTTAAATTATCAATACTAGAGCAGGCAATTGACGGCCAGAGGTGCGTTGACGAGTCTCTTCACACTGAGGTACAAGCCAGTTTGGCTCAAGTGCACAAACATGTTAACGGCAGCCATAAAGACAAGGATATCTAACCAGGCGTCTAGGTGTTGTCTGTTCATAATTTTGTGCATTTTTGGCAACAATTCACCTCCAAAATGATAATATCATCATCAGATATGTAAACTCTTTAAAGGTAAAGACCGTCATGCGATTGCATTGTGAAAGAAACGTTGTGGAATCGATCAGAAAAGGTTGATCATCTAGCATCTAGCATCTGCAAGGTTCTGGAATCATCAAAATGATAAGAAATTTGGCCCATTCTTCGTAAAGTTACAAGCACTATACACAGAAAGATGTATATGGGACTACCCTATATCTCTCACAGACCATGAGAGAAACAAATTTACCAAATATGTGAATTAGTAGGCGGTTTCCCGGCAAATTTGTTATCATCATGTATTAGTCAAAACATATTCTTTCACATGATTGGTAATGAGAACTTCCATTTCATTTTTTGAAATTGGGGCGTTTCCAATACTGGTCTTTACCTTTAATGTACATGTAGTTGGTGACGTATGGGACAAGATAGAGTGATGTCGCCATCTCGAGGAATAGAAAGAAAACATGTTTTACAAAGAGAGGCTTGAAAAACAATAATTTGGGGGAATCAAGAGGGTACTGACTACTCTATAACGATTGGCAAGTTGGCTTCGATAAATGACCCAGTCCAAAAAAAAATGACACTTATGTTGCATACATTTCTCATACATATACCGGTAGCTCACTGTACACTGAAAATGACACTTCTTTTTTTTTACATTATTCACAAAGGTTTAATTGAATAGCATACCAAAAACAGCTTACAAAAAAAAGTTAGTATGATACTGATAACATAGACATTATCGAGTTTACCCAAATGTATGAAATGATTGGAGCATAAAAATGTGTTGCCCATCTAAAACTGTCTATTTGTGAACTGAATTGGAAGACAACAACATGCAGTAAAAGCAATGTGGTGTTTGAAAACAAATTGCACATTTGTTCACTAGTAAATTAAATGTTTTGACTCGATAAGTTTCGCTTGGTGAACTCCGTAGCAGGAAAATGACAAAATGTATTGGTATAGTTAATCCAACGCAAATAAATATATATTTTTAATCAGATTTGTTATTCTTCCGGGAAATTAAAAATTAATTAAACCGTAAACATTTTGTGTACATAACGGACAATAATATGCCATTACTTGTTTAAACAACAGATTTTGAAAGCAACCATATATTGTATGATGGCCTAATTTACTATTCAGCAAAAACTTCTTCCTTCATCAAGTATTTTATCTTCATAATTTACATCCTTTAAAAATTAGCTTTATCAAAAATCACATCATTCATTTAATTAATTGCAGACATTGTATAGACGACAATCTATTAAGATATTATTGCAGCTTTTAACACCAGAGTAAAATGTTCCCAAAGAATGAATGAACCCTTCATAGTCTTACTGTTGCATAACACTTAATATTTTCAATACTAACAAAAAATGTAATGTGACATATTAAAAAGTGGCACTGAAAAAGAGTGCCTCTGCTAGGCTTGTTTCTTATGGAGCTCTCACACTCTGCCGTGTAGGCCTACCGTCCACCTGCCGGGCTATTAAAAAAAAAACAGAGTCCAGAACGTTGGGTTTTGAACGAACTTGTCCCCGGCCGCAAAAAAAAAATCATAAAATTAATCTTTTCACCGTTTCGTTGCCATCTTCTGACCGTTCTCACCGGGCGCATACCGGGTGTTGAACGTGCTTCTACCGTCTTCACCGCGCAGATTGACTTTTGTTGAAAATTTTGGCCGTTTCCACACCGGGCCCATACCGGGTCTCGAACGTGTGCACCGGGTTTGTAGCAGCCACCTACCGGTCACTTAGCGTCCCCTCACCGCTCGGAGCGTCCTGTGAGCGAGTCCCCGGACTGCTGACGTCATGACACGACTGCCATAAATACCCCGATTTGAACGGCAACGGTCAGTCCGCTCTCTATTTTTCATCACCGTTCTGTAACGGGTTATGAGCGTGTTGTGAACGTGTCCATACAGTGTGACCGTTTTCATAACGTATTCATACCGTCCTCATACCGTTCAACACCGTCCTCTTGCCACTTACTTGCGGCCGGTGCCAGCCGGCCAAAGTTTTGAACATGCCCAAAACTTTCGCCGGGTCCCACCGGGTGTAAATAAGCGCCAACGCCCTATTAACGTGTTGCCCGCTTTGATAACGAACCACCGTGTGCCCTCGCCGTTCTCCACCGTCCGCAGACATTTTCGCGCACGGTGGCACACGGTAGGCCTACACGGCAGAGTGTGAGAGTCACTTTAGGTAGAAACTATTCTTGCATATTTCAATTATGGAGGGGGGGGGGGGGGTGCATTAAATAAACTATTTATCCTGACATCATTTTCTTACAGCCGATAACTTTTTAGGCATTATGCAATTTTGCAGGATCCAACAATTTAGCTGAAATATGAATCCCATCTCCCTCGATTGAGTTGCAATATAAATCCCAATTTATCAAGTCCAACCTGTCAAGAGTCGATAACATCTAATGTATGTTTAGCACATAGTGTAGTGAACGTGAAGCATGGGTACTTTGGTTTGTACATGTATGAAAAGTAATGAAATAATGATATGATCACACAGGCATATTCATGCAAACTGAATCAATCTTTCAATACATTTTACACGTTGTATACTTAAAGATTGTATAGGCATGGCAATGGTAACGTAAGTGGTGACATGATCATGTACATGTGGGAAGGCCGGCCCCATTTGACTGATTACAGTAACAAGTCGTCCCCATTGGTCTCCAGAAAATTTTGCGGAAAGGGGATCGGATTTCGGTCTTAAAGTTCCCATCTGAAAAATCTTTGCTACTGGTAATGAGCTTTAAGCACCAATTTTCTTGGTTCAGAATCACCAAAATCAATTTTCCAAAACCCGTTTCAAATAAATTTCAAAAGACCAATTTGGGAATGCTTTATACGTGCAGTTATCATCATCATCATCATTATCCATCAATGGGATAGGCTCTTTAATCCTTATTTTATGAATATAAGCTACAGACTTTTCAATTTATTGGGGGGGGGGGGGCATGAAAAAGAAACATAAATAGTATCAAAAAGTTAGTCATTTGTGTTTGTTATTGAGAACATCTTGCTTTTCATTAGCTACATCCTTGAGAATGTTGACCTTTGGGGCTAACTGTCAAAATGTATTTCAGAGGTAGTTACTGAGATCTATTTTCCTTAGACTATTTATGTCCTTCATGTGACATTACTCATACATCTCAGAAGTTTCATCAAAAGAGAAAAGAAAATCAGAAGTAAATCCCCATAATTTTTTGTTAAATCATCAACAGAGGTAGAACGTATTGACCTGAATGAGGCTTAAACATACCTGTAGTTCAATTTTTTGTTATAATTCCTATATTTACTTTTTAAGATAAAAGCTACCAATCAGAGTCCACTTTTTACCATCTTTAGGTCATAGTATTCATACGTAAGTTTATCCTGGATTAAGGTTTAATCATGCCGAAGGTCCAATGATTTATAGAGCGCCTAATTTCAATCTCTTTACTCCATACAAATGATCGTATGCCTGTAACAATATGATTAAATGAAATTAATCAAGTCATGATTTTCAAATCAGAAATTGATTTCACAATGATTTCCATTTGTACATGTAGTTAGAGATTGATCGTATTTCCAGGGATGCGGAGATTGGAATTTGGCGCTCCATAAATTAGAGGACTAAATCTAGCACGTCAGTCAGGGTTTAAAGCCATTCTGTACTACACGCACTACAAATCCCCTCTAGCACCATCTCAGGTCAGCTGTAGCAGTTCAGTTCAGTATAGCTTAAACCTGGATTAAAGGTATTACAAAGTTTTGGGAAATTTTGAAAAATGGGTGGATAGTAATTCTTTACAATTTTGATATATTTGGATGCCCTGTGGATGTTTTAAAAACACCAGAAATTTGAGCCCCTAAAACACTTCTGCTTTCGAGAAAAGTTGAATATAAAGATTTACCGGTGCTCCCGGTAAATTTTGATAAATTTCAAATAGCTCCTACGGCCGTACAATGGTAGCTGCGACCATAAAAATCTCGGAGTATGTAGTTGTGGTATATAATTTCCGATCGAGAATAGCTAATCGGTCGATTTTAGTCTATAAACATTGTTTTATAGCTTAATTAATATCTTGACCTTGAGAGGGAGCTATTCAACATAAAGTGTTTATTATTTACAATTTTATAACTTTAGAGTCGATTTCGACCGCGACAACGATCACTGAATATTGTAGGATCGTATATGCTTCCAATATGTTCATTTGAAACAAGTTCATGACCCCATACCAAAACTTTGTATTACCTTTAATGTTAATTCACATTTATGAATACTGGCCTCAGTGTCATATTTCTGTCAAGATTATCTTCTAATCAACACCATGATCTCTAAATCTCACTGATATTGCTACTTGCTAGAATAAAAAAGTGTACTCCTAAAAATGTCTAGTACGTGTAAGATTGACCATCCAATGGCATCATTACTGGTAGATGTACATACTTGCTGTGTTTGAAATGGATTCCCTGCAAAACTGCTTTGATGGTATTCTATTAACGTTTGAATTTGTATAACAAAGAGTGAGAAAATTGACAGGAGTTTAGGATTGATAGACAGGAACATACTTAATAAATCTAAGACATTTACTTATTTCAAGAAGACGGATAATACCCATGATTCAAATCGCAGCAACATGACAACTATGACAATTGAACATCAAAACATCTTAGAATAATACATACTTTACAATGGCAATGGCATGTAATGTCCCATCCACACACAAATACAAAACAAATGGATCACAAATTCACGATACCCCAAAATAAACTTTTAAAATCGAATGTAAAATGAAATATGAAAAATATTACTTTCATGAGAATGAAGGCTTTGTGAAAAATGTATAAAACACTTGATTTGTGCAAAAATATAAATTTTATACAAGGCACATGATGGAAGACTTACAAAATAAACAAAAACTGACCAATAAACAAACTGGAAAACATACGTGACAACGAAACTTGATGTGCAATTGCCCAATGGATGTTTATCGTATTTACGGCAGTGCTATTGTCTTTTTCGGCTCGGATACCGAGTAACATATGGACAAACTGTATTTACCAAGCTGGACATTTACACGTAGATGTAATTGATGAAGTACGTGTACATTTAAATTTCTGTAGACTTGATATATAATGTTGGTGCTACATGAATGTTCGAAGCAACCAATACATGATTCTGCTTCTGTGCCTGCTTCTTCCTGCCACATATACAGGTCTCCTGAGTTCAAAGGTCACAAATGCAAATTATAGGTCACGGTACAAACTGTTTGTAAACTTCTGTCGATAGTGGTTCAGAAGTACAAACGTCAATATGAATGTGTAGTTTAATTTACAAGAAATGTGCATACTCTCTCCGCAATAAAATTTTCCTTCAAGAACAAATTGTGGAATGGTTCTGCACAATATATTTGGAAGCATACACAGGGTCCGTCTCACGATACATCAATAAGATAAAGCAAACCTCCATAATTCTCCCAATAAACATAATGGAGATGTGTGTGGTCATCTAAACCTTCAATTAAGCGTGTATGTCCAGCAATGATATGACTAGCTTCTATACAAGGAGGCCTGGGTGGAGTCCCGAGGAAGCTGTGCAGTACTATAAGGCACCGATGGCGCAAAAGGGAACGGAGGGCGGAAGAAAAGCCCCTGCTGTAGCATACTCTCTGCCTGACTGGTAGGTATACCTGGGACAAGCCCCTGCAGGAAGGGCGACCCAGCCGGTAGGAATGTTGGGCGTGGAAGCATAGGGTAGTAAGGGAGCATGGGAAACCTAGAGAGGTGACTAAGATCAGTCAGGGGTTGGAGAGGCTTGCCCATGCTGTCTACTGCCATCGGAAGACTGAGAGCTGCGGGGAAGTCCAGAGGGAAATGTTGGGGGACGAGATCCTGGGCCAAGGATTTGGGGGTGGGGGCCTTGGAGGGGTCGACGACGGGGAGTTTGTGTAGAAGGGAAGGATGGGTCTGGTTAGTGGCTGGGTCAATGATACCCTGAGTGATGGAACCTCGAGGATTGGGTGTCATCTTCACTTTAGGTGCCATGCCAAGAAGGGAAGATGAAGCCATCAGTGGGGCTGAATGAGTCGAGTGCAATGGCGACGAGGAAGAAAGCATGGCATGGTGCTCGCGAGAGTTGGAGAGAGGAGACGAGGAACGCTTGCGGACTTTCTTATCGGAAGTTCTTAATCTATGCACTGGAGAGTTCCTTATCACATTGCTTGTGGAATGCAAGTTGGCATTACTGATGACACTCGGCCTACGCTTCCCATAAACCTCGTCTTCTAGCACATTGTCATAATACCTCTTCAGCTTCTTAGGCATGCTTAGGTCACAAGGTTCCTCCTGCTCCGGAACGGGTTCATACTTGACCGAGCGAGAGGAGGATGCAGAGGAGGAGGAGGAGGAAGAGGAGGAAGCAGATGAGGAAGAACGTATTGGTGGTACTATAGAAGCATGAGGTTTGACTGGAGTTGGTTCTGGTAGAAGAGATTTGCTTTTTGAATCATCAAATTCATACTGGCTTAATTTGTTAGTCACCTGAGTTGGGGCTATACTCATAACAGCTTGGTTATTGAGTTCTACTGGAGGGCGGTAGAGGAGAGGGGATTGTGGTAGGAATGTCATATGATACGGTGATAGGAACCGTGGTCCTGCTCCCAGCAAGCCTGGCATCTCTGCCACCACTTTCTTGTAGTGTTCTTGCTCAGCTGCAAATTGCTCTTTCGTCATGTTGCGTAAGATGAGGTCGTTGGGTTGCACAGCGCTTGCAAGTGGTGAATTGATCAACCCCGATGGCACATCACTTTCCAGCTTCACCTTTTTGGGATGCGTGTGCTGTATGACTGATGGGCGTGGAAGGAGGCTTTCCTGACTCCCTAACCTCAGGTCACCCATAGTGACATTGTTCAGATGGTTCACAGGGCTCGCACGACTAACATGCTTGCTATCAACTCCTCTTGAAATATGCCTTGAATGATCTACAAGACCTCTTTCTTCTTTGACCACTGAGTTATTCATAACTGAATGTGTTCTCTCACTTTTGATAGGCACTGCCTCCTCTTGTTTTACCTCTGCTATTTCTCCCTGCTGCATCAGTGGTGCCCCGCCGCTCACCTTGTCCAAAACGGTCGATGGCTGCGACTGAGGAGCAGGCTGTTGCTGCAACGGTTGTTTCTGGTCCTCAGCAGCCTGGTGGCCCAGTGCGGGACTCTCCCTCTCCTGTTTGGGTACTGTTGTAGCTGCTAAGACGGGTACCTGAGGTATGGCCAGGATGACTGGACCCATGTTCTTCAGACCGAGATGATGATGGTAGAGGTGGCTTCCCCCTTGAAGCTGAACGACGGGCGACTGTGGTATCATGGGAGGCATGGTCATGATGGGCATGCCGTTGATGCTCATCGCAGGCTTCACCTCTCCGCTGACAGTCATTGATGGAGTTATAGTGGCTGTGCTCGTTGGCACAGTGGTAGTTACTGTTGACACGGATGCACTTGTGTCTCTCATGACGACACTATTCAATCCTGCTTGCTCTAGCATCTGAAGAAAAAAAGGAAATACACAAGGATGGATTTAAAATTTAAATTAAATCCTGACACTGTATGCAGGGCAATCAATATATGTACTTTAGAATGTAATGAGCTCCAGGCATCACAACCTTCAGAGTTCTTCTCACATAAGAATCCCATTACCTACCTAAACAAATTAATTGTTTAATGCGAAGAATTTGTCAACAATTGCTAAGAGCAAAAGGTAGCCAATTCATTTCCCCCTTAGTTTATAGGTTTCAACAACTCCATGGACACAATCATTAAATATACTGTATGTAAAGGTGTCGTGGTCGAGTGGATACGTCACTGGACTGTGGATCACAAGGTCCGCGGCTCAAGTCCCGCCAAGGCACTAATGTCCTTTGGCAAGACATTGGCCTACATTTGCCAGGAGAATCTAAAGCTAAGGTATTACTTATAGATTAGAGTCTCTGAAATGCCCTGCTTAACACAATACTAGACTTGAAGCAATCTCTTACCTGCTCTTGCGCTCTCCTCTCTGCTTGCCGCCATGCCTCAAGCTCCTGAAGTTGTTCTCTGACGTGTTTCACCCTCGACCTCTTCTTATCTTTCTTGTCCTTCTTCTTCTTCTTGTCCTTTGCACCATACATGTCTGCTGGTTTGTCTGGCATGCGAAGGTGCTGCTCAAATGGAAAGAGCAACCTACAAAACAAGAAGACGACAAGATTAAAAACATTTTTCCCCTTCTAGTACATTTATTTTATTTATTTATTAGTCTTTTTTTAGTAGGGTGGCTCCATCAGTAGTTAAATACTGTTTTCAGTGGAGGTCATATCTTATTCCGTACTTCATCTACATTTCTATTATTCTCCAAGTCCTACTTATGGTTCTCCTTCTTTGGTCCAAGCTTTCTTGGAGACCAGTTTGTTTGCAGAAACCTTTTGACTGATTGGTTGTGTGCCCTTAATGAACGAGCATTTAGATGAAATTTACATTTAGCACAGAAAAGTAGCTGCGCTTTATACCCGTCTTTAAAACATATATACATGTAAATACACTTTCCCCACATATCTCTTTTTTCTATTCCAAAGCATTTCATTCTAGTAATTTGAAGATTTTTCTCGATACATGGTAGGTGAATAAGGGTTTTAATTTAAAGCCCCACTGTACTACTTGTAGCTCCTTGCTCCCTCTATATAGAAAATGCCTAAGCGGTGCCTGTTGGTCCCCCATGATCCTCTTTTTTCTTATGTTACTTGAGAGCTGAGTTGATGAGATAACCACCTGCCAGTGACCATGCAGGGTGGTCTAATCCCTCCTGATCAAACTAGTACAGATGGGATTTAAATAGTTTTAATGTTTATAGTTTTATGTGCAAACCTTTCATAGTGTTTCCTGGTGCATGTTGCAGCACTGGTACTGTTAGGGTTTCCCCCTAGCTGATCATAGATGACCTTCCATTGTTTCTGTGATGTGATACTCCTATAGCCACCAAGCTTGACAGCCAGCTCAAAGAAGGCAAACAGATCAACTGCAGGCAACAACAAAAAGAGACAATAAGATGGATTTGTATGAAGTTACATCAGTTGGGGTGGTTTAAAGCGGGACTGCACTACTTGTAACTACTTGCGCCCTCTATATAGCAAACAATGCCTTAGCGGTACCCGTTAGTCCCCCATGATCCCCTTTGTCTAATGTTAAGTGAGAGCTGGTTTGATGAGATAACCACCTGTCAGTGACCATGCAGGGAGGTCTAATCCCTCCTAGCCAAACTAGTGCAGACAGGCTTTAATCATTTGACTTTCAATTACATATATTAAAGTTACTTAGTTGTTGTTTTTTGGTCTTATTTTGTGTGAGTGAATGTTGCTTTGGTATAATTTCATGACTTGTTGAGATAACATTTATGTTCAAAACAAAGCCTGCAACTCTGGGTACTTCGATAACAAATATAACAAATATAAAGTAATCTAAAACACTAAAAATAACAGGGCATGGCACAAGGCTCTAGTACTCATAAACTTTCAAATATTTCCTCCCCCCCCCCCCTCCCCCATCCATTAAAAAAGGCCATTCTTAGTAGTTCAATTGTCCAATTTGCAGGCCAAAAAAATGAAAAGGTTAAATTCCAATGGCATTTGAAAGTAAATACTACTTTAGAACTTCCCTAAAAAAAGGGGGCTTGAAAATGTCTTTAAGTGGGAAAATAACGACTATTAGTTGTTAAATCGACTTAAAAGCTATAGAGCCAGTAAGAAATAGTTTGATTTTCGGACCATTGTACCGAATGACCGTACGTTTTATGCTGCGCAAAGATTCAATCAGTTTAATTTTGGCCAATACAAGAAGTGGGTTATTGATGTAGACAAATGCTCATGTACCCTTCACAGCTCATGTTATGTATGTTATTACCAAAGAAGAAAAAAAAAGCCATTTTGTCACTCAATAGTGTCTGACAGTAAAGTCTAGCAAGTAAACGGGTTTCCTTACATAATTTGAATATTAGGACACCGCTAACGTTTGAATTTCACAGATAGGACATACATGACATATTCACATTCCTGCAAAGTTCTACAGAATTTGATGTTGGCTGCAAAAGGGACATGGTATCTTTATCTTACGCTGTTTGAATCCAAGGTGTGGCACTCTGTCGATGGGTGTGTTCCTGTCCTTCATGTACTTGTAGAGGTGCGTAAGGAAGAGCTCCTCACTGGTCACTCTACCCATCCTAAACTCCGCCTTCAGCTGAGACAGGGTGTCGGCCCCACTCGACCCAAGCTCCAGTCGGTCTCTTGACCTCCGTGACCCGACCCTGTATGTCCTCTTGCTAGCAAGCAGGAAGGTGTTCTTTTTAATGGAAGATATGAACAAAATAAAATATTCCGTTAGGAGTTAGGATTAAAACACGCCTAATTTTTAGGTCAAAAACAGATAGGCAATTTAAGCATGTTTCACTGTATATGTATGCTATTGGATTTTAATCTTTATACTTTAAGAGAAAGTAGAGCTCTGGGAAGAGGTAAAACATAAATTGTGAGCATTATCATTGTTATTATGCAAGTGTGGAAGAACATCAGATAACAAATGTTCCCTGAAAAGCATGGCTCTTCAAATGCTTTCATATTCTAAATATGGCAAATAACAACATAAAAATCGGGACAGATTTTTATCCCACATGTTCATGTAGCCCCATATACATCTTTCTATGTACAGTGCTTGTAACTTTACTTAAGACTGAGCCAAATTTCTTATCATTTTGATGATTCCAGAACCTTGCAGTACACACCAATACGCTAGATGATCAACCTTTTTACATCGATTCCACACCGTTTCTTTCACGATGCAATCGCATGACCAGAACTCAACTTTATCTTTAAAAGTAAACTCTGATTAAAAGTAAGAACCATCATGGACATGAATCTATTATGTAGTGATTCTCCAGGTAGTCCACGTAACTTCAACTTATGTCATTTACTTTTGCAGCAGTTTTTACTTTAACTATTCATTTGCATGTCATGAATGTATAAAACATATGGAACATAGAAAAAGAAAATTTGCCTGGTGCAGGCATTAATTAAGCGTCACCCGCATCAATCTAATAATTTATGTACCGTTACAAGGGGCGCGTGTCCCATATTAGTGACAATGATATCTACAACTGCAACTACGGAAGGATCATTAGCATTAATTGCTGAACAAGATGATATCGATTCCTTTTCCTCATAAACTCCAGTGCTCCGTCTTGCAAAGAGTTGATATCAATCTCAATTATATACATAAGACATAGGATACTACAAACTTACGATTGATTGGAGGACTTGCGATTGATTTGGATCAATCGTAAGTCTTTGTAAGACGGGGCCCTGGAGACCACTTTTAACAGTTCTATTCATCATTATCCTTATTGGAGATATGGGTTTGGCCCTTGATGCTGTGGACCGAAACTGTAGTAAAACTCACCTGAAGGTTATGTGAGCCGGTGTGATTTCTAGGTGGTTCATACCGATCATCATCTGATTTTAACTTCACTTTCTTCTTCCTTGGTCTACCTTTCAGTTTGGGAGCTATACAAAATCAAATCAAATGCAAAATATCCACATTAGAAATATACAAATGCAATCATCATATAAACATAAAACTTTTAAAATGGCATTATATTTGATTAGAGTCCAAGCAACAAAACAGTGTGTATGTTTTCAGGGTATGGCAAGTCAGGTTAGTATACAAGCAAGTTACCAATAGTACTCTGCAAAGCCAACTGCAGTAGTAGCTCCAGGCTCTATTTCGTGGTATAGGGAAAGGATTGGGTTAGTGATGGGTTGTAGGTTATTTTTAGGGTGATGATATCAAAGGATTCACCTAGTGTAGAAGATTACTCTAAGCCTGGCATCATCGGCTCGAGATTGCCAAATATCCCGCTATTTGAACCATCCCGATCGCAAATTATCCAGCTAATTTGCGTCTACATCAGCCCGCAGTTGCAATTAGCGGGATATTTGGTCAAGAAAACATCCCAAGAAGTCTTGGTCTTGTTTCCAAAATAGCCCGCTATTTGGGAAATAGCGGGCTAATTTGTGCCTGTCCGAGCTAGTTTATGAAGAGCGTATTGGTCTGGTGGAGACGCAATTTTGAGCATCAGGATAATATCCAGAGTCTGAAAATAGCGGGTTATTTGGCAAACTCAAGCTGATGAGGACAGGCTTATCGAGCTATTGTCTGTAAAATATTTGTCTCACCATCCTCTGGGGTGATAGTGAGCACTAAAAAAAAAATTTTTTTTCCCTCAACCATGCCCCCCTTGAGTAAAAAATGGAATCTAACAACATCCCCCCCCCCCCCTTTTTGAGTAAGAAAGTTGGGAAAAATAGGGAAAAATAGGGGAAAATAGAGAAAATAGAGAAAATAGAGAAAATAAGAAGAAAATAGAGAAAATAAGAGGAAAATTTGAAAAAATAGGGATAAGATTGGGTAATTATCAGGCCTGCATCCTACGTACACCTACCTGTATATTCACACAACCTCTCGTCCTCCTCCATGATGGGATGATCAAACTCGTCCCGGCAGAAGAGCAGCTTGGTGTGAGGGTGGGGCATGGAGAGGAGCCCCAGGGCCTTCAGGAGGGGGTTGCTACGCCACTTGTCCCCCTGCTTCTCTATCCTCTTCAGGTTGCCATGGTAACGGCAGTAGCTGGGGTAGCTGACCACCATCAGCTTCTGGTCCTCTTCCGTATCTTTGCAGGGTTCTAGAATGTTCAAAAGGGTTTGAAATATTTTTAAAGTTAGGACCAGAGTCATCATACTGTACAACACAGGGCTTGACACTATAAACAGGCGCCCAGTTCACATGGACACCCTGAGTCTGCCCGGACCCCCACAATTTCAAAATTTAAGAGTACAGCTCATGCATACACAACCGAGACCCACTTTAGTAAAAAGGTACTTTGGAGCCCTGATACAGTCATTCAGAGATATTCTATTTAACTTGTAGTTGTGTCTTGTTTTACTGCTGTTCTTTTATGTTTCATTTTCTTTCTATTTTTTTTAATTTGTTTTAATTATTTTTTTGGGGGCCGAGTTTGTTTGCAAACTTGTTTAATGTTCAGAATTTTCACAATTTATCTCATATACATTTAAATTTTAATATACCCATGTGTTTACTCTGAAAGTAGTTTTATTTGAATTTTTTAATGCTGCAGTTCAATTATGCCCTTTTGCTGTATTCTTGTTCTTATTTCTATGCTTTTGTTTTCTAATAATACCAATATTCTCACGTAGCAGATAATAATATACACATAATATCAGTAGATTGTACATCATTTGCAATCTTTGGAGTTTGGAAGAATTTATATTAACTTGTATGTTTTCAGTGATTAGGTAACCATTTTGAATTTCTGTGGCAATTCATTATTCATGACCTTGCCTTTTATCATCCACACAATAATTTGGTTTCCACATGTGTAAATATCACACAAGAAGCACATTTATTATTACAACTTGGGGAATGCTATTTAAATGCTCTATTGTAATCAGATTGATAGGCAACAACATATTCTGATATTGTAAAATCAAACAAAATTACATGTATTTGATTTTGTTAATCCTGTACAGGGATGGGTTTTTTTTCCTGCATAATGGATTAAATTTTTTCTCACTTTATCCATGGTACATGTATATGGTATTGAAAAACATACCGGTACAAACATGTAACACCAACAACAGATATGGTTTACACATTGCCAGTAAACATGTACTCATTCTTTTTTTGTTCGTCATAAACATATGGTACCCATCTGGCTAATAAAATAAGAAACTTACAATCTGTTCGAAAATTCTCAATTAGATTGAGGCATCTGTGTCTTTTCTCCTGTATCGGTTGTTCAAATTATCATTGAATGGAATTATTCTCATTACTATCCTTAAAGGGGAAGTCCACCCCGATAATTGACTGGTATTAAAGGGAAAGTCTACCCTAATATTAAAGCCCATCTGTACTTGTGTACAGGAGGGATTAGACCACCCTGCAAGGTCACTGGACAGGTGGTTATCTCATCAACTCAGCTCTCAATGAACATAAGAAAAAGAGGATCATGGGGGACCAATGGTCACAGATTAGGCATTGTTTGGTATATAGAGGGCGCAAATAGCTACAAGTAGTGCAGTGGGGCTTTAAGTTGGTTAAAATAAAAGTAGAAAAATGAGAGAAAAAGGTTAGTGACAGTTTGAGATGTATACAAGTTTATAGCTACTGGTATTTCAAATTGATTTCATTTATATTACAAAAGACCACTGACCGTTTGAGTTTGTGGCTTGTTCATCTGTACACCTTAACCTGCTCAATGGTAACTCTTCAATAGCATCTCCATCCTGATTCTTAATAGACGCCACACCCTCGAACGTAAATGCCCCGCCCTGTTCCTCTGTGGTGGTAGTAGTGGTGGCGTGGTCGCTGGGGCAGATCGTGGGGAAACCATCGATCCACCTGACATCTTCCATGATCACCCATTCGAGGAGGTCTTCGATGCTCATGATGGCCTTGCCGTTGACTGCTATCACTTCATTCTGAAAGATTAACAAATGAGAAAAGTATTGCCATTAGTATGAATATAAATGGAGAAACAAACATACATGTAAGGGCACATGTCTGTATACTATGAAATACATTTGAGGGATTCAGTGTTAACATTTGTGGGCCCAAGTACAACACATGTACATTCAAGATTCAAGGTTTATTTTATTCAATATTCAGTCTTTATGGCACAATTTTAACTTAATAAGTTTATTTTCATATTTTGAAATTAAGAAATACAGCAATAAAGGCAAACAAAATACATGTAATTAAAGAAAGAAGGAAAAATGGAGATTGCAAGGCAAGGACAAAATAATGACACAATAACAATAGTATTAATACTAATGTAGACGAATTCAATGAGTATAACTATAAGAATTGTTTACTGTTCAAAAGACTAGCTAAGAAGGGGAGTTGAGTGCGCTAAATACAATGTACCGTTTAATTTGTCAACATAAATCCTGAATTACTACATCATGTGCAGACAGGTGGGGAAAATCAATCTAATGACCTGAAAGGACCTTGTATATGATATTGTATGCGAAACATTTATCACATAGATAACCCTTCTGACATTGACCTAGATTTATTGTGTTTGTTATCTACACGACACCAACCTACCCCAACATCCCTGTCATGTCGTATATCTTTCTAAAATTTACATTGTAGGCCAGTCAAATGTACCTGAAGAAATGCTTAAATTCCTTCAATGGGGAATGTAATGTATTCATTGCAAACAAAATGAAATCATTGAATACAGATTTCATATTAGAATGAAGGTCTATTGTTCATGCATACCAGTAGATGTACAATGAATCATGTTTATTTTGTGTCATTTCATGCATATGATTCATGATTCTCTGTATTAAATTTTAGAAGAAAGACAAAGTTTATATACATTGATGAAATGCCACCTTATGAGCACAAAAAAAAAGGGGGGGGGGTGAATCATATCAATTCACCTGAAAATATATTTTGGTCACAAATGACATGCTCTACATAAATTGTGACAATTCACTGACCACAGGAAAACCCTAGGGGTAAACAACAGAGTGACCTTTGCCTCATCTGAGACCATTTGAAGGAGCTTGAATCATTCATTACAAGGCAGGTGTTCTTGGGCTAATAATATTGTTGCAGCCAACAAGATGATCCCTAATGTTCTATTCATACGCTGACAAGTACATGACCTTCCCCCTCCCTTTCCATACACTCTCTCTCTCCCCACCGCCCCCCTCTCTCTCCCTCCCTCCCTCCCATCTCTCTCTCTCTCTCTCTCTCTATGATACTATCTCTCCCTCCCTCTCTCCCTGTGCACTGTAACAATCACATATACATTTGTATTTGTTTTACCAAGGACTTCCTAGTAAGTCCATGGTTTTACTCACTCCCTTGGTATTTAGATTGTTCAAGCAATTACGCAATGCTATCTAATACTAACTTGATAAAGGGCAAGGCATTTACACAAATATTAAATGCACATGTGCCAGAGAAGATGTGGAAATGACAATTACACTGCAGTTATTGATGATCGAACTAAACAGGAAACAGAAAAATCTGCAAGACCCTAAAGAAATCATCCATCAGGGGTAATACTGTGCACACACTTGAAAGTGAAGTAAACATGCATGTTCAGTCAAACCTGCTTTTAACGACCGACCTGTCTACAAAGACCAAATTTTGTTGTTTCCCTTGGACGATCGCTATAGACAGGTTTCACTGTAGTATGTACATGTAGTAGGCTTGAAGTTGATAACTCCATTTGATGTTAAATTTGTTGTAATAGGTTTACCCATTATCATTCTATAGCAATCCATGCAGTATTTCTTTGGTCCATGATAGTGATAACATTTCATAGTTGGACGGTGGGGGGGGGGGGGGGGGGTATGATCAATATAAACCTACTGTCTTTGCTCTCATTCTCATTGACCCTACAATATAAACCTACTGTCTTTGCTCTCACTCTCATTGACCGGTTGACTTCTGAATTCCCTAAATCCTATAAAAACAGGAGCCACCAAATTTATGTAGGCAAAGGCAATTTGTAACAACGAATAGAAAAGAAGGGGCTCAGGGCACTTTGCTCCTAAATTACATGGAATTTTAAAAACCTGTAGGCCTACAGTAATAGAAGGAAAAATTGAATGTGATATATCTGTTGAATTCTATTCATTCTTTGAATAAAGAGATTTAAATTGGCTTTAATGCCCCTCTGAACTAGTTTGGCATGGAGGGGTTAGACCCCCCCCCCCCCCCCACTTCAAGGTCACTAGACAGGTGATTATCTCAACAAATCAGCTCTCGATTAACATAAGAAAAAGGGCATCATGGGGGACCAATGGTCACCGATTAGGCATTGTTTGCTATGTAGAGGGCGCAAGTAGCTATACATGTAAGTAGTGCAGAAGGGCTTTTTAAGATCTTGATTCTCATGAATAAAGATATCTAGCTATGACGATCTAGCGGCAATATTTGTGGCAAATATGTCTCTGTATCCTCAAACAGGTCTTGGGTTTCGTCAAGTACCATGACTCACCGAGACAGAACCCACCTCCAGTGGCAGAATTTTAATTGGACTCGAAGCTCAGGAGGAAAAGACACGGTTTAGTCACAAATAAAATAAAACTTCCCTCTTTCATGAACCCAAAAGTCATGTACAAGAGTACCAAGTTGACTCACGATGGTCATATAATGCATATATCCGTTGTCATGCAGGAAAACTAAACATTCAACCACTACTTTTTTCCTAAAATATTTCTTGGCCGACAAACCCCTTATATGAATTACATATGGTGATTATACACTGCAATATTTGACTCCATACTGTAGAAAGGCAAAACAAACAACAAAAGAAAAGCTATGTACATGTGCCTTTTGTTACCGGTAATCAAACTGTGAAATGTAAATACACAAATTTGCCTATCAAAAAGAGTATTAAACTACACCTGTAAGGTTAAATGCATAAATAATAAAAAGAAACAAACAAACAAAAAGGACAAACAAGACAGAATTTATACAATGTATATGTGTAGGCCTACATGCACTGTAACTGGTGTTTCAATATGCCCAAATTGCCTTTAATAAGTTGACTTCACGGACAGTATAAATTTCATGATAGTTTCCTCAATTTATGTTCACATGTAGAGCACTTAAAAATCTCTCTTTAAATGTTGAATAACTATTACAATAAATGAATGAACATTGAACAGTCATTATTTTAATTTATCAAGTCAATAAAAAATGCACTTTGTTCTTTGTATTTAATCTCTCATACTTCATAATGAACACTGATACTGATAGCCATCAAAATAATCTCATTGTATTTCCTGTCTGAAATTAAATATATCAGCCACCATCAGATGGAAGAGATATCGGAGCTACTGTGCAAGGGATAGGATTTCTGCAATGAACTACTATCATGGTTTTCTTCAGAGCACAGTATAGATCTCATGCAATATACTGTACTTCTGCACCATCTTGGTGTTTACAATAATACATGTAGTCTTTGGTTTCAGACTTTTGGCATCTTGCACATACTACAGGCACCATGTAAACTAATACTGAGGTTGTTGAAGGGAAATACAACCTAATAAGTTCTGTTTTTGTGAAAGCAGAAAAGTATTTAAAAAAAAAGAGAATGGAGAGATTTATGAAATAAATAAATAATAAGAGAGTTATATGGGTCATATAAAATCACTATAGCAAAGTGAATCACAAATTTGCAAGTTTGAAAGTGCATTGTGATATAACCACAGACAAATTTCCCTTTTGTTGTCTCCCTGATGTTGGTACTCTTAATGTCAGTTGATTATTACTTCATGTTTAATCAACAATATTATCATCAGAATCACCATCAAAATCCTCCACATCATCATCATTATTATCCTAATCATTATCATTATTTGTTATTATTATTATTATTATTATTAACATACGGTAATCATTATCATCATTATCATCATTCTTCTAATTCTGCTCACTATTTTTTATGCTTATTCTTCTTATCATTATTATCATTATGAATTTAACTTTTAGAATTGTTATTATTATTATTATTATTATTATTATTAATATTAATATTAATAGTAATATTATCATTATTATCATCATTAATCATTTTATTTTAATTCTACTTGTATTATTATTACACACATTTTGTCTTTCCTTATTCATTGCCTCTGTTTGATCTTTGAATATTTTCACCATTTACGTAAAACATCTTCAACATTCCAATAAAGAGGGTCTGAACTAAAAGCCTAGCTACATAGTAAGACAGTACAGTTTAAATTTGCTTACTGCTTGCTGCTTTTAATAATTGAGAGAGGACAAGAAGGGAAAGGGAACACTGGTTCTCAACTGAATATTAATTTGAGCCCAATAGCATGTACACATGTTAAACATGGACATTATTCGTAATGATGCATCAATACAACTGGCAAGTTCTAATTGTATTCACTGTGAACAGCAAGGGATTTAATTTCAAGTCCGAGCATATTATTGATATTCCTATATTCGTGGAACATCATCCTCAGGAGCTAGGCTCACACTCACAATACCTATGAATAATTTATGATAATCATTGCCTTAGCCATTCCTTTGGTACATACATGCAGGCCGAAGAGTTTATAATCAAGGGATGCGTGTGATGTCCATAGACAGCCAGTTGAATTAAAGGGCCACTGCTGAATACTTAAAGATGTAAGCATTCTCAAGAAACACAAATCAGGACAAATATATCTTTTTTTTCTTCAAATACTTGAGAAAAAAAATCAAAAACTAGGTAGGGGTATGAATAATTTTAATAGTACAGTATTAACAAGATGCCACCACATGGGGACTGGGTGGAGGTACATTAAATACAAATTGGTGTACTGGTAATGAAATTCCTATCATGCTATTAGAACTTGAAAGAATGTACCTTGATCGCTCTTGATGTATTGCATCCCAAACTGCCTATCCTATTGCATCTCAATAAAGCCGCCTCGCTCTGCTC